TCTGGCCCTTAAAGAAGTGGGTGGGGTGGGGAAGAACAGTTACTACTAGTGTACACTGCTGGGGGTCGCCTGCCAGAAATCATTCTGGTGGGTCCAGGTGTTGGAGCCCCAGGTACTTGCCATCCCCTCTCCCCACTAAATTTGGCTTACCCAATTATTACCCTTCTGGTCTTGCCTCCTGAAAGAAGGGTCAGGTGTGTCCCCAACCCTGTCTCCCCTGGGGAGGAGCCAGGTGCGGGGAGGCTCTCATTAGTTCACAGTTATCCAAGCCCAGACCCTGAACTCCTCCCTGGTGCCCCAGCCAAGTTTCTGTTCCTTTGTTTAAGCAATATCACTTTCATCTTTGTTTACTCCTGGGCAGGAGCAGGGGTGCCCTGGAGCCCTGGCCCAGGCAGTGTGTTGTGGACTGGCGGGTTAGGCTGGAGAGAAGTGAAGAGTGGGTGGCAGTGAGAAGTCTAGTTGTGGTTAGGATGTGGTCTTGAGAAAGATCTGGATTTGAATCCCAGCTCTATTGCTTTCTAGTTGCATGACATTGGATAAGTGACTCAGCTGAACCTTAGTTTTCCCGTCTGCAAAATGGGTAGAGCACCTTGCAAAGCTATTTTGCCAATTAAATGAACTCGTATAAATGAAGTACCCAACATGGTGCTTGGCATGTAGTGGATACTCCTTTTAGTCACTCATGCTTTTCCTGGAGTGACAGAAGCCATAGGATTTGGGGATAGGGTTGGGATAGGATCTTTTCGTAGCTTCATGCCTATAGCCAAAAGACTAGATGGGGAGTATAACTGTAATGACAGCTGCTGCCTGTGGATTTGCTGAGACGCTTAGGGGCAGCCAAGACCCTCGAAGGGGAGAGAAGGTAATTCCAATCTGGGAACCAGGAGACCTGGGTTCTAAGTCCATCTCTGCTGCCAGCTGCTTGGATGACCTTGGCAAAGTCCCTTGTCGTCTTGTCTGTTTGCTAGGTTATAAAATCAGATACCTTCTGTTGGCAGGTGTTAGTTTCTATAGAACAAAAGAGCACTTGCCCTCCCTTCTTTCTCCCCAACAGTCTGGGGAAGAATCTAGGATCTCTAAACCCCAGGCACTGATCCCAGATCCCCACCAGCCACAGGGCCGGCAGGGTCTGTGGGACCCAGGCCCACTGCCCTATTTTTTATTTTTTGGAGACAGGGTCTTCCTCTGTCACCCAGGCTGGAGTGCAGTGGTGCAATCATAGCTCACTGCAGCCTTGACCTCCTGGTCTCAAGTGATCCTCCCACCTCAGCCTCCCGAGTAGCTGGGACCACAGGCATGCACAACCACATTTGGCTGATTTTTGTAGAGATGGGGTTTCACCATGTTGCCCAGGCTGATCTCAAACTCCTGGGCTCAAGTGATCCTCCCACCTTGGCCTCCCAAAATGTTGGGATTAAGCCACTGTGCCTAGCCACCACTGTCTTATTTAGTTGGTAATTTCTGTTGTGTGTTCATGAAAGGGACAAAGATACAAGGAGACTTGTAGGGCCCAGAGGGTGCCTTTGCATGTACACACATGAACACACATGCCTGGGCAAAGGTGGGGTGAGCTGAGGAGAACAGACCACATTCTTAGCCAGGAGCAGGGCGGGGTCCATCTCTGGTCAGGGCTGGGTCTGGCTGCTGGGTGGCCTGGTTCTTCAAAGCCATCCCAGACTGAATGGGCTTTATCTGAAAAGAGGGCGGAGGAGAGGAGGGCCGCTGGTGACTTCCCAACCTTTACAGAAAAAAGAGCGATTGCCCACAATCCCACAGGGCTTGGTCCCGTCTTGCTGGCCTAGTCCTAAATGGCTCTTACCCACTTGGGAGTTTCCTTCCTTCTTGTCAGAGGTCATGGGTGGAGAAGGGACCAAAACAGGGCAGAGAGGGGACTTCCAGAGCTGAAGGAGAGATTTAATTCCCTCTGTCCTCCCATCACCACTGGGAGCTGAAAGAAGTTTCTTCCCAGCCCCTTGACTTGCTGTAGGAGGGAAATCCTGGGCTCATCTAAATGCAGCCTTTGAAGACTCCATCTTTCCAGAACTTTGGAATAGTATCGAATCCCGGCCATGCCACGGAGCCCCGGGGTGACTTTAGACTAGACTAGTTTCTTTTTTGAAAACTGAATATAAAAATGAAAGGTTAAGGATGAACAGGTGCCCACAAAGAAGGCTGAACTGGAAATAAATCTTGGTTTCAGCCTTGGTTTTGCTGCTGACTTGGCTGCAAGATCTTCACACCCCACTTTCGCTCATAGCCTTCATTTCTTTAATGTAAAACGGAGGTAATTCCTAACAGCCAATGGGCATGCTAATCCCATGGGTTGTTTTGAAATATCTCTTAGCACTTTCACATACTGAAGAGAGGCTGGATGCATAAACAACATTCCGTGGCTCCCAGGGGCAATGAGGAGTGGGAAAAGGTCTCTCAGCCTGAGACAAATCTCCTGATGGAACTACAGCCCCTATTGAGGACTTTCACCTGGTCAACAAGTGGCCAAAGTGTACCATTCTTTCTTTCTCCCGACTGGATTTGACCCTCCCCCACCCCACCGACTTAACAGGGCTCCCTTGGAGCCTGGGGCAGGCTGGTGGCCCCGTGTGCATATGTGTTCATGCGTGTGTTTATGTGTTTGTGGTTAAAGATCCAGGTGAGTGATGCCTTGGTTCTGGTCCAGTGTGGCTACTTCCTGCTCGTGTGGCCTTGGACAAGTGACTTTACTTTTCTGAGCCCTTGTTTCCATCTCTGCAAAAAGGGACTATTCAAAGGACCTAGAGAGGCTGTGTGCTTGTTGAAGGCCTGTCACTTGGGTTCTTGGGGGATTTGCCGCAGGAGATGGAAGTAGGAGCCCAGGGACCCTGCCCTTAGGTATAGGCACTTGGGCAGCCACGGGGAGCCTTCCTCCTGCTCTGCCAAACCAAAGCCACAGGCACGGGCTATGTGCGGGGGCTTGAATTCCAGCACCAGCAGCCCAGCAGCTCCTGATTCCCGAGTCATGAAGTCATCTCTGACCAGGACTTAACCTCTCTGGCTTTCCACCCCCACGGGTGCCAAGCATTCAGCAGAGATTCTCCCCACTCCCTGGGGAGAGAGTGATTCCTGGCCACTGCCTTTCTTGCAGCCTGACCCCGCTCCCTTCCGAGAATCCAGCATCCTCCCACTGTGGGGGTGGAAGAGGGGCATGAGGGTCAGGCTCCACCTGCCTCTCCCCGGAAGCCCAGGGGGAGAGTACAGGAGTGGCTCCGAGGCAGCTTTCCTGGGCCTCTCCTGCAATGACAGTAGCCTTATCTCAGGGACAGATGCTCCTTCTCACACCCCCTCCTTTGTCAATGGCAGTCTCAGCTGAGTGAAGGACAGGCTGGGATGTCCGAAACAGAGACCTGACCTCTTTCTATCCTGAGTTATGTAGCGAACACTCTGTGTGACCTTGGGCAAGTCCTTGCCCTGTTCCAGGCTCAGATTCAAGTTGTGTGGAACAGGAGGACAGGAGCTCCTTGGGTCCTGGAATTCTGTGATTCTAAGCAGACTCCCAGCTCCCGCAGTTACGGGGTCTGGAGATGGCAATGTCTTGCAGCGGGAGGGGCATGGTGTATTGAACTTAATGAAAAACCCCAGCTCTCCTGGCAAATACTAGGCACTTTAATGTTTGAATTAATTAATAGAATAATGAACTTTGCTCAGAGCAGCTGTTCTCTGGGCAAACAGAAGCCTGAGCCCAGAAGCTGGAGGAAGGGTGATGGGCATCCAAATGCTTCCTGTGCTCTTGAGGGTGCTTTGTTCCCACTCCGTGGAGCTGCAGGATGGGAGCAGGGTACCTGATGTACTGTAGGGCTGCCCGGGACCTTTGACACTTTCCTTTGGCAAGCTGTTTGGTGGGAGCGGACCTGAGACTCTGTCATGATCAGCTGTGTCTCCATGGGGTAGTGGCTGAGTGACGTTTATGGGTACTGGAGTGGATGGTCTGTGAAGGTGAGGATTGTGCCTCTTGGTGTCTGCATGGTGCTGCCAGCAGAGCCGATCTGTGGGAGATGTTTGGAAGGCAAGACTGAATTCAGGAGTGCACTCCTGAGTCATCAGGTCTGGGCAGCGCCCTGACCTGAGGCTGTCTTAGGGTGTGCGTGAGGCAGCCCTGTCTGTCCCGGCCCAGACTGACTCAGCTGGGAAAAGTGTCCTGGACTGGGCAAGACCAGAACCAGCAGCCCACTCCCTGTCCTGTGTGAATCAGCTGCCCCTGCATCACAGAGCCCTGGAGTGTAGCATCTCAGGGCCCTGTGCATGGAGACTCCTGGCTCTGAAGTCAGGCAGCCCTGTGTGTGCAATCCTTGCTCTTCCATCCGCCAGCTGTGTCACCAAAAGAAAATGACTCTCTCGGCTGTAAAAATAAGTGAATAACATGCCTCCAGAGTTATTAAAACAGGGCCCGGCACACAGCAAGTGCTTGGTAAATGATACCTAGCCATATTAATACTTTGATTATTACCTCATTTACTATTTTTATTTTTTTTTGAGACGGGGGTCTCACTCTATAGCTCAGGCTAGAGTGCAGCGGCGCGATCCTGGCTCACTGCAACCTCCACCTCCCGGGTTCAAGCAATTCTCCTGTCTCGGCCTCCCAAGTAGCTGGGACTACAGGTGCAAGCCACCACGCCCAGCTAATTTTTGTATTTGTAGTAGAGATGGGGTTTCACCGTGTTGGCCAGGCTGGTCTTGAACTCCTGACCTCAGGTGATCCACCTGCCTCAGCCTCCCAAAGTGTTGGGATTACAGGTGTGAGCCACAGTACCCAGCCTCATGTACTATTTTTATTTGCCCAGAATGGGAAAGAGACTTGCTTAAGGACACATGGCGAGTTAGAGGTAGAGTGGGATCCAGGACGCAGGTCTCCAGGCCCTGGCCTGGTCTCTTTTTAGTTTTTGAATGCCCACTTCACTAGCTTTCGGGCATCGGCTGTCATGGAGCACTGGGGATGTTGGCTGATGTGTCTCCTTTCTTTATCTTAGATCCGAGAGACTGAGGTCATCGACCCCCAGGACCTCCTAGAAGGCCGATACTTCTCCGGAGCCCTACCAGATGATGAGGATGTAGTGGGACCCGGGCAGGAATCTGATGACTTTGAGCTGTCTGGCTCTGGAGATCTGGGTACGGAAGGTGTGGTGGGCAGGCGTAGGCACAAAGCTGGAGGGAGTGGTGGCCTAAGCAACCAGGAGGGTGCCCATGCCTTGAGACTTAGATTTTTGTGGGACTTTTCCTAGAATGCCCTTCCTCCTTCTCAAAAAAAGGGGAGACAAAAGTAATGGATTAACCTTTTCCATCCCTGAGAGCCCCTGGGGACAAGCTGTGTGCTGCTTTGAAGTCATTGGTAGCTCCGGGTTTTCTGAGCTCCATCCTGAACCTGTCCTCATGGGCTCTTCTCTTTGCTGCAGGGCATGGTGGGGGTGGGGTGAGGGTAGGCTGGGTGGCAGGACAGGGTTGGGGTGGCGAAAGAGGACCCATAGAATGTTTTCCTTTCTCTGAAAGGAAAAGTTCCAGCCTGTGCCACATGGTGAGAACTTGTCTCTACAAAAACACAAAAATTGGCCAGACGTGGTGGCATGCACCTGTAGGAGTCCCAGTTACTTGGGAGGCTGAGGCGGGAGGATCCCCTTGAGCCTAGGAGGTTGGGACTGCAGTGAACCAAGATCATGCTACTGTACTCCAGCCTGGGTGACAGAGTGAGACCTTTGTCTCAAAAAAAAAAAAAAAAAAGAAAGAAAGAAAAGTAGCAGTTTAGAAGTGGGGATGGGGTGGGAGGGGGCATGAGTGGGCAGAGATGTAGTTGGGAAACCAAGAACAAGTCCCTGCTTCAGTGGGGGTGGGGTGGGTGAAGGGCCCAAGGCCTCCAGGCCAGACAGCTGATAAATGTCCCTCCTATGTGCAGAGAGGTGTTAATGATCGCAAGTTTTAGCTCTGGAGTCACATGGTCCTGAGTTCAAGCCTCCACCCTGTGTGAACTGAGCCTCAGTTTTCTAATCTGTAAAATGGGAATAATAAAGATAGTAAGTACATCAGTGTTGTGGGGACTGAACTGACAAAGCTTTTGGCACCCACCAAGCACTCAGTACATGTGTGTTTGGTTTTTTAAAAATATAAATTTTATGATCAGGTGTGGTGGCTCATGCCTGTAATCCCAGCACTTTGGGAGGCCAAGGCAGGCAGATCCACGAGGTCAGGTGTTTGAGACCCACCTGGCCAACATGGTGAAACCCCGTTTCTACTAAAAATACAAAAATTATCCAGGTGTGGTGTCGGGTGCCTCTAATGCTGGCTACTTGGGAGGCTGAGACAGGAGAATTGCTTGAACCTGCGAGGCAGAGGTTGCAGTGAGCTGAGATCGCACTGCTTGCACTCCAGCCTGGTGACAGAGCAAGACTCCATCTTGAAAAAAAATAAAAATAAAAACATAAATTTTATTATGTGCATTTAAGGCATACAACATGATGTTATGGGATACATATAGATAGTAAAAACGTTACTACAGTGGAGTTAATTAATATATCCATCATCTCACATAGTCATCCAGTAAATGTTTTAATATTGCAGTTAGAGTTTTCTTTCTCAATAGTTAATTCACTGGGGATCTTGTTAAAATGTAGATTTTGGCCGGGCATGGTGGCTTACACCTGTAATCCAAGCGCTTTGGGAGGCCAAGGCGGGTGGATCATGAGGTCAAGAGATCGAGACCATCCTGGCCAACCAACATGGTGAAACCTCGTCTCTACTAAAAATACAAAAATCAGCTGGGCATCGTGGCACACCCCTGTAGTTCCCGCTACTTCGGAGGCTGAGGCAGGAGAATCCCTTGAACCCAGGAGGTGGAGGTTACAGTGAGCCGAGATGGCACCACTGCACTCCAGCCCAGGCGACAGAGAGAGAGACTCTGTCTCAAAAGAAAAAAAAAAAAAAAGTAGATTTTGATTCAGTCAGCCCTGAAATTCTACATTTTTTTTTTTTTTTTTTTTTGAGACAAAGTCTTGTTCTGTCACCCAGGCTGGAGTGCAGTGGCACGATCTTGGCTCACTGCAACCTCTGCCAACCAGGTTCAAGCGATTCTCCTGCCTCAGCCTCCCGAGTAGCTGGGATTACAGGCGCCTGCCATCACGCCCGGATAAGTTTTGTATTTTTATCAGAGATAGGGTTTCACTATGTTGGCCAGGCTGGTCTCGAACTCCTGACCTCAAGTGATCTGCCCGCCCTGGCCGCCCAAAATGCTGGGATTACAGGTGTGAGCCACCGTGCCTGGCCTTGAAATTCTACATTTCTAACCAACTCTCAGGTGTTGCTATTGGTTTTTGGATCCACACTTTGCAGAGCAAGGGTTTAGAGCAAATGAAGCCTCTGCCCAGCGGCCAGCTCACACATTCCTGTGAAAGAGCCAGGGGGTGGGTCTGAGGAGCCCCATTTTACAGATGAGATGACTGAGGTAGGGGTGGGGAAGCTTGCTTGCTGGACATTGAGCATTTGGAGGCTGGTTGTAAGGTGGAGCTACCACCAACCCTGGCTGAAGGGGTCATTTTCCTGGGGTAATGGGCCTCACACTCACACAGCTATTCTGACCTTACAGATGACTTGGAAGACTCCACGATCAGCCCTGAAGTTATCCATCCCTTGGTAAGTAGCTACATGCTTCTGCCTCTTCCACTTTTCTCCTCTACAGCAGACCTATTAGGAGAGGCAGAAAATACAGCCCCATAGGCAGAATAAGTGAGGGGTCTTACCCCACTATGCGGGAAGGCTTTTTAAAAATCTGGCCCTGGGCTGGGCGTGGTGGCTCAGGCCTGCAATCCCAGCACTTTGGGAGGCTTGAGGTCAGGAGTTTGAGACCAGCCTGGGCAACATGATGAAACCTGTCTCTACGAAAAATAAAAAAATTAGTCAGGTGTGGTGGCATTGTGCCTGTAGTCCCAGCTACTTGAGAGGCTGAGGTGGGAGAATGGCTTAAGTCCAGGAGGCAGAGGTTGCAGTGAGCCAAGATTGTGCCAGTGCACTCCAGTCTGGGTGACAGAGCCAGACTGTTAAACAAACAAAAAAATCTGGTCCCAGCCTCATTTTGCAGGTTGCTGGTAGGCCATCCTCCCTGCAGGGATAGTCACCATCAACACCAACTCCTTTTCTCTACATTTATAGCTATTTCCTAGCATTGATATAAAAGTATATATACAGGCCAGGCGCAGTGGCTAATGCCTGTAATCCCAGCACTTTGGGAGGCCAAGGCAGGCAGATCACCTGAGGTCAGGAGTTCGAGACCAGCCTGGCCAACATGGTGAAACCCTATCTCTACTAAAAACACAAAAAATTAGCCAGGCCTGGTGGCGGGCACCTATAGTCCCGGCTACTTGATTGGGAGGCTGAGGTAGGAGAATCGCTTGAACCTGGGAGGCAGAGGTTGCAGTGAGCAGAGCCATTGCACCCCAGCCTGGGCGACAGAGTGAGACTCCCATTCAAAAAAAAAAAAAAAAAGTATACATATATAATTCTGTGAACTGTGTTTTTCACTTAGACTGGTCATGAGTATTTGCCTGCATAATTTAATGCTCTTGTCATTTTTATAGGCTGCATAATAGTTTACCTGATTCCTTTTATTGATGGAAAAATGGTTTATAATTTCTTAACATTTTAAAATGATAACACTGCAGCAAACATCTTTTTTATTTTTACAGAGCGATAACAAGTTTATTAAGAAAGTAAAGGAATAAAAGAACGGCTACTCCGTAGGTAGAGCAGTGGCATTGGCTGCTGGTTGCCCATTTTTATGGTTATTTTTTGATTATATGCTAAGCAAGGGGAAGATTATTTATGAGTTTTCCAAGAAAGGGGTGGGCAATTCCCAGAACTAGGGGGTCCTCCCCTTTTTAGACCATATAGAGTAACTTCCTGATTTGCCAGGACATTTGTAAATTGTCATGGCATTGATGGGAGCATCTCTTAGCATGCTAATATAGTATAATTAGCATATAATGAGCAGTGAGGCCAACCAGAGGTCAGTTTCATTGCCATCCTGGTTTTGGTGGGTTTTAGCTGGCTTCTTTATTGCAATCTGTTTTATCACAAAGGTCTTTATGACCTGTATCTTGTGCAGACCTCCTATCTCATACTGTTACTTAGAATGCTTAACTTACTGGGAATGTGGCCCAGCAGGTCTCAGCCTTATTTTACCCAGCCCTTATTCAAGATGTAGGCACTCTGATTCAAACACCTGACATTTTCCCCCTCCCTTTTATAAGAGAACCCTTAATCCTAAAGGTTGCAGCGGGACAAAGATCCATCTTCTGTAACTTCTTCATGCTGAATAGGGTGATGATATTCCTGCTTAACTATTAGGGCCTCTTGTAGGGAGGAGCTCAGTCAGAAAGCGCCAGTATGGTGAGGGCCATTCATAACTTTTAGTTCTGACAAAAGGTGATACCCAAAGTCCTTCAATCAGTGCTGCAGTTCATTTCCTTTTTGTTCCGGGGTCTCGTCCGTCTCGTCCCTTCTGTGGTTCTCCAGAAAGATGTTACCAGAAAGGTTCCTGATCCAGACCCCAAGGGAGAGGGTTCTTGGATCTCGCACAAGGTAGAATTCAGGGTGAGTCCATAGAGTAAAGTGAAAGCAAGTTTATTAAGAAAGTAAAGGAATAAAAGAATGGCTACTTCATAGGCAGAGGAGCTACAGCAAGCATCTTTAACACGCAGTCTCTGAAGAGCTCCGTAAGATAGAGTTTCCAGGGCAAAACTGCTACTTTAAAGCGCAAATGATGTCTAAGGTTTTGCCAAACTGCTTCCAGGGTGGTTGGTCTGGAATAACCAGTGGCCAGCAGTGCAGGAGAGCACCTGCTCCCCTGTTCCCTTGGTCGCATTCATTTTTCATTTAAGACAGATATACTAGAAAAATTGGGGATAAGCATTTTAGCAGCGTAATTGTGGAGAGGTTGTTGCCAATTCCTGCTCCAGGACCACATGGTTCAGCTGAATATGGCAGAACCAGATTCTCTGCCTGGCTGAATGTCCCTGTCCCCTTTGCCCTGAGTCTTCCAAAATATGCTGAGTGTCTCTTCTCCTTTCTGCCCATCCAGGTGCCTCTAGATAACCATATCCCTGGGAAGGCAGGGTCTGGGAGCCAAGTCCCCACTGAAACCAAGAAACTGGAGGAGAATGAGGTTATTCCCAAGAGGATCTCACCCATTGAAACAAGTGAGGATGTGTCTAACAAGGTGTCCATGTCCAGCACTATGCAGGGCAGCAATATCTTTGAGAGAACGGAGGTCCTGGCAGGTAAGGCCCCATGCTGTTTATAAGATGCCCTGAAGGTGGAAAGGGGCTCAGTGGGGGAGAACACCTGCAGGCAGGGATGCCTCCAGCCCATGAGGCTCCTTGGTGCCCCTTCCTTTTGCCCATTCACATTCCTCTAGAACATTGAAAGACTACACCTCCCTTATGGGGTGGCTCTGACTGTGCAGCCTGGTGGAGGGCGAGGAAAAAGTGCCTATCAAAGGCTTCTGGAAAATAGGCATTGAGTCATTCTCTTGCCTTAAGTCCTTCTCATTTATTTTTCAAAGGACTTTCACTGTATAGGTTTGGCATCTGGGAGTTAATCATTAAAAGTTAATTTCCCTTATAAGTCTGGAGGCTCCTTCGAATTGGGTTAGCTCCCCCTCCCGCTACTGTATCACTTGGCAGCCTTGTGACCTTGGCTGAGAAGCTTTCGAACTTGATCAGCCTCAGTTTCCTTATCTGTAAAATGGGTACAGTGATACCTCCTGGGGTTGATACAATGAGTCCATGAAAAATAAAATATGAAAGAACTTTGCACACTGTAAAGGACTGTTCTGATTTGGCCTCAGTTGAGAGTTCTTGACTGGAATGTGCATCGTGAGGAATGTTTTGTCCCAGGGTGTTGACAAGAGGGATGGAGGGAACTCCTCAAGGTCATGGCTGAGGGCCTGTCTGGATGAACTGGCCCGGCAAGTGGGCACCCTGGGCCCATGCTGGGTAGCTCCTGTCTCCTGGGAATCAGCAGGGCGAGCAGCTCCGAAGAGGCTTGAGCTATAGGGACAGAGCCTGGATTCATCCAGGACAGATAAAAGGTCTCACCTGCCTCTTGTAAAGAGGGTTCCTGGGAGCACAGCCCCAGGTGACTGGGCCCACCTCAGCCCTGACCCCGGCTTCCTGGTATCGGAGCCAAAGTTCTTTTTGCTTTTGTTTCAGAAGTAAAAAGATTTGCATAAGGCTTTGGGTTTGCATAAGGTTTTGCTCTAATTAACTAAAGGTGCTATTGCTCCCAAAGAAAAATTTGAAAACCACTGGTTAATACAAGCACCTGCTTCTTACACATGGGGAGACTGAGGCCCAGGCTTTGGGCCACATAGTAAGAAAAGAACTGAAGCCAGGTTATCTATTTGATCTTCCATTTGAGAATTATACAAGCCTAAGAGCCTTATGTGAAAAGTGACATTGTTAGCTGGTATGGTGGAATCCCCCATTCCAGAAGCTTTAATCAGCACCCAGGAGCTTTATTAAATGCTTGCTGTATACTGTGCGATTCCTGTGCCTCTCATTGAGTCCCTACAATACAAAACTGAGTCTAAAGAACTTACGCGAAGTCACAAAGCTGGGAAGCGGTAGACCTGGCATTTGGACCAAGGACCACAGTCAGCTTCCGAGCCTCTGCTTGAAACTTGACCCTGTGGGTCGTCCCAGTGCAGACCTAGGGCCTCATGGAGCAACTGGGGCCATCAGAGGGAAAGATGATAGAGACAAGAATGGGGTTGATGCCTGATATTCCATGTGCTTTCTCTGGCACCTCCTGGGGGTACTTTATTGTTGCTTTTTCATAGGATTTTACCTAAGAAAGAACCTTGCTTGACTCCTCTGTGCCACTCTGTCCCCATTGTGTACATAGATTTGTAGTGTGTGCAGGGATGGAAAATTAATCTTCTTAGCCCGAGTAAGACCGAATTAGGGGACTCAATCTGCCACAGAAGGGATTCTGTGAGGCATCCCCGCCCCTAGCAAACAGGAAAGAGTCATTCAGGCCACCTGGCAGAGTGGACAGGCCAGACCCACTCACCGTTAGACGCCCATCTTTGCCTGACACTAGGCAGGTTCTCCTCTCAGAGCCTGAACGTGTCATTTATTAAGTACCTCCTGTTGTGCACACCTGATTCCGGGGGTTCGGGACACAGATACAAACCTCAAACCTTTTCAGTTAATGAATCTTGAGAATATGCTATGCACTAGGCACTGTTCTAAGCACTTTGAGTGGATTAATTTATTTAATCCTTAGGACAAATGTATGAGAAAGGTATGGCTATTCCCATTTTACAATAGGGAGATGAAGGAAACTTGCCCCAAATCACATAGCCAGGAAGTAGGAGAGGTAGGAGTGAAAACCAGGCTTTAGCTACTGAGTTCTGTATGTAATTGTAACATAAGAGCTTGGAATTAGTATGTTCTGCATGTGTGCACTTTGAATGCACATACTTGTCCATGAAGGGTAGGCTATATAGGTAAATATGCACACAGGGAAAGCTAGAGAGTGCCCTGTGCTAAGGACTGCAGGATAAATATGTCTATAGGGATAGCCATAGCCTACCATTTTCTCCTGTTCCTAGCTCAGTTAGTGCTAGGCTGTTGCAGGGCAGTCTGCTTGGTGTTTGGAAAGAGCCTGGGCTTTAGATTCAGGCAGATGTGGGTTAAAGTAGTGGCCTTGGCCGAGTGCGATGGCTCACGCCTGTAATCCCAGCACTTTGGGAGGCCAAGGTGGGCGAGGTCAGGAGTTCAAGACCAGCCTGGCCAACATAGTGAAACCCCATCTCTACTAAAAATACAAAAATTAGCCAGGCACGGTGACATGTGCCTGTAGTCCCAGCTACTCGGGAGTCTGAGGCAGGAGAATTGCTTGAACCCGGGAGGTAGAGGTTGCAGTGAGCCGAGTTCACGCCACTGCACTCCAGCTTGGGCAACAGAGTGAGACTTCATCTCAGAAACAAAACAAAACAAAAAAGTAGTGGCCTTGGCACTAGCCCTGTGGTCTTCAGTGACTTAAAATGCCAACAAGCCCCTTCTTATAACTGGGGTCATGAGGTCAACTTCAATAAGGCGTCAGCTTGCCTGGCACAGGCAGTGGTGACGGTGAGGACGTCTGGTTGTAAGAGAACTGACGGTGGGGGAAGGAGGGTCCCTAGGTCCCGATGAGGAGCTCTCACCCGCACCTCTTCTCTCTCCTCCTCTCCAGCTCTGATTGTGGGTGGCGTCGTAGGCATCCTCTTTGCCGTCTTCCTGATCCTCCTGCTCATGTACCGTATGAAGAAGAAGGATGAAGGCAGCTATGACCTGGGCAAGAAACCCATCTACAAGAAAGCCCCCACCAATGAGTTCTACGCGTGAAGCTTGCTTGTGGGCACTGGCTTGGACTTTAGCAGGGAGGGAAGCCGGGGGATTTTGAAGGGTGGACATTAGAGTAGGGTGAGGTCAACCTAATACTGACTTGTCAGTATCTCCAGCTCTGATTACCTTTGAAGTGTTCAGAAGAGACATTGTCTTCTACTGTTCTGCCAGGTTCTTCTTGATCTTTGGGCCTCAGTTTCCCTGGCAGAAAAATGGGTTCAACTTTCTGGCCTTTCTGAAGGCAAGCCTGGGATTGGATCACTTCTCAAACTTCCAGTTAAGAATCTAGGTCTGGCCTCAAGCCCATACTGACCATGCCTCATCCAGAGCCCCTCTGAAGCCAGGGGGCTAACGGGTGTTGTGTGGAGTCCTGGCTGGAGGTCCTCCTGCAGTGGCCTTCCTCCCTTCCTTTCACAGCCGGTCTCTCTGCCAGGAACTGGGGGAAGGAACTGGAACCACCCGCGCCTTGAGATGTTTCTGTAAATGGGTACTCGTGATCACACTACGGGAGTCTCTGTGGTATATACCTTGAGCCATTCTAGGCTCTTTCAAGTGACTTTTGGAAATCAATCTTTTTTATTTGGGGGGGAGGATGGGGAAAAGAGCTGAGAGTTTATGCTGAAGTGGATTTATAGAATATTTGTAAATCTATTTTTAGTGTTTGTTCGTTTTTTTTTTTTTTACTGTTCATTCCTTTGTGCAGAGTGTATCTCTCTGCCTGGGCAAGGGCGTGGAGGTGCCGAGGTGTCTTCATTCTCTTGCACATTTCCACGGCACCTGCTATGTTTCTATTTAATGGTTTTTGTTTTTGTTTGTTTCTTGAAAATGATAGAAGAGCTGGAGAGATGATTTTTATTAATTTTTTTTTTTTTTTTTTTACTATTTATAGCTTTAGATAGGGCCTCCCTTCCCCTCTTCTCTCTTTGTTCTCTTTCATTAAACCTCTTCCCCAGTTTTTTTTTTTTTTTTAATACTTTAAACCCTGCTCCTCATGGCCTTGGCCCTTTCTGAAGCTGCTTCCTCTTATAAAATAGCTTGTACCGAAACGTAGTTTTTTTTTTTTTTTTTTTTTAGCAGATCCCAAAATATAATGAAGGGGATGGTGGGATATTTGTGTCTGTGTTCTTATAATATATTATTATTCTTCCTTGGTTCTAGAAAAATAGATAAATCTATTTTTTCAGGAAAGAGTGTGGTATTTCCAGTTTGATGTGGCTGGGTGGTTGAGCGAGTGAATTTTCATGAGGCTGGGTGGGTTTTTGCCTTTTTCTCTTGCCCTGTTCCTGGTGCCTTCTGATGGGGCTGGAATAGTTGAGGTGAACGGTTCTGCCTTTTCTGCCTTCTGTTTGGGACCCAGCTGGTGTTCTTTGGTTTGCTTTCTTCAGGCTCTAGGGCTGTGCTATCCAATACAGTAACCACATGCGGCTGTTTAAAGTTAAGCCAATTAAAATCACATAAGATTAAAAATTCCTTCCTCAGTTGCACTAACCACGTTTCTAGAGGCGTCACTATATGTGGCTCATGGCTACTGTATTGACAGCAGAGAGCATGTCCATCTATTGGACAGCACTGTTCTAGAGAACTGAACTGGCTTAACGAGTCACAGCCTCAGCTGTGCTGGGACGACCCTTGTCTCCCTGGGTAGGCGGAGGGGGAATGGGGGAGGGCTGATGAGGCCCCAGCTGGGGCCTGTTGTCTGGGATCCTCCCTCTCCTGAGAGGGGAGGCCTGGTGGCTTAGCCCAGGCAGGTCAGTCATGTCTCCTCCTGACCCCAGTGGCTGGGGTGAGGGGAACCACCCTCCCTTGCTGCACCAGTGGCCATTAGCTCCCGTCACCACTGCAACCCAGGGTCCCAGCTGGCTGGGTCCTCTTCTGCCCCCAGTGCCCTTCTCCTCGGGCTGTGTTGGAGTGAGCACGTCCTCTATAGGCACCTCTCACACTGTTGTCTGTTACTGATTTTTTTTGATAAAAAGATAATAAAACCTGGTACTTTCTAAACTTCCTGCCTCTGTCATTTTAGTCATAACAAGTCATCCTTTTTGGGCTGTGTATCCCCTTGATCTCAGTGGAGCATGAAGAAACTCCCCTGACCAAATCCCCATGGGGTGCCAGACATGCCGGGGGTGGGCAGAGGGTGGGAGCAGAGCTGTAAGAAGGCAGGAAGGGGCCTAGAGAGGAGGGAAGACGTCAGAACATGCACCCTGATGGCCTATGCAGCATATCACCCCTACTTCAAGGTTTTGTTTAGGTTGGCACTGTGTTTAAATAGCAAACACAAAAATCTTTGCATCAGTTGCCATCCATAGAAATCAGGAGGTTTCTCATAAAAATCCAGATTTCTCACTTTTCTTGGGAAAAAGAAATTTAAAAATTGGCGACTGTCGGCCTGCAGGGCAACAAGAGAGAGCTTCTGAGTGGCAGGCACTCATCTAGATGTGGGCTTTCCACACCAACATCTCTGCCTGCTTCACTCAGGTTGCTGCTGCAGCCAGGCAGGCTGGCAGCCTCTGGAAATAGCATTGGCCATCTCTCTTGACCACCATAACAACCCTGTGAGGTGGGGAGGATCCTTGTTACCAAGAGGGCAACCCAACCTGCCCCTAGTGTGTCTGGAGAGTCGAACCTTAATTTCAGGTCCTTGGACATTGGTGGTCTTCCTTTGGCACCATGTTGCCCAGTACTTTACTGGGGTTGGGGAAAGGACGCAAAGAGGAATTGGTGGTAGTTGGAGCAAACCCTCGCATACACACCATGTGGCCATGAACCCATTCTCAGGGCTTTATACCAGAGCCCATTTAGTTGTCAGAGCTCCAGAGTAGCTGCTATTGGTAACTCCATTTGACAGATGGGGAAACTACATCTCAGAGGTTAAATACCTTGCTCAAAGCTACACAGCTTACCAGCTGTAGAGGTGGGATTTGAACCACGGCAGTCGGGCTCTAGAGTGCTCACAACCGCACTGCCTATCAAGGGGTTCATATCTCTCAAGGCTCCTTCACTGGGGGCTGTTCATGCTCCCACAAACCCCCTATGAACCAGTGAGTCTGGTCTCAAATCTCGTGTCCGCTTAAATCTCTCCTGAGACTTTGCTGCACTGTTTTTCTGAGTCCCGTGAGGTTGAGTGGGTCTCTGTTCTTGTAACTTGTGTCTTGTAGAAGGCCCTCACATCTGTTAGATCTGTGCTGTCCACTATGGTAGCCACTGGGCACTGTGGTATATTGTAAATTTAAATTAATTGCAATTGTAACGATAAAAATTCTGCTTCTTAGTTGCACTAGCCTTGTTTTAAGTGATCAATAGCCACATGTGGCTAGTGGCTACTGTATCAGGTGGTGCAAACACAGAACATTTCCAGTTGCAGAAATTCCTGTTAGGGCTGCTTTGGATGGTGTGAGACTGTGAGTCAGGACCTCTGGGTTTGGGTTTCAGCTTTTACCAGCCGTTACCTTGTGCTCCAACAGCCTATAGGGAGGTAAGTCAGAGCTCAGCACCCAGTACGTGCTCAGTATATGGTGTTTTCATCATCAGTGCCATCTTTTTGGGTAAAGCGTTAGTTTAAGAAGACCCCCATATTATCCATTGATATTTAAAATTACCCCCAATCTTAGGGGCTTATAACGACATAAATATTATCTCGCATTGTTTCTGCGAGTCAGAATTCAGGAGCATTAGCTGGGTGATTCTGGCTCCATCTTGTGAGGTTGCAGTCAATGTCGGCCAGGTCTTGCTGTCATCTGAAAGCTTGACTGGGCTGGAGGATCCACTTCCAAGATGGCTCAGTTACATGTCTGACAACTTGGTGCTGGCTTTTGGCAGGAGGCCTCAGTTCCTCATTGCGTGGACCCACATAGGGCTGATTGCCAGTCCTTGTGATGTGGCAGCTGGTTTCTCTCAGAGCAAGTGATCCAAGAGAACCGCCAAGTGGAAGCTACAGTGATCTGTGTAGCTATGACCTAGCTTGGAACTCACCCACTATCTCTTCCATAATATTGCATGTGTCACACAGGTCAGCCTTATTCATTGTGAGAGACTACCCAGGGGCAGGAGCACCTGGATACAAGACTCATTGGAAGCCATCTTAAATGCTGGCTGATATAGCCCCATCAGTGGTCAACCTTGAATAGGGCTTTGTCTGGAGAGCCAACTCTGATTATTTCTGAAAATATATAATATTATTTCTGAGAATTGGGCAGTGGATGCAAAATGGATTTTGGACACTATTGGTCCACTTTTTGTTTTTTATTTTTATTTTTTGAGGTGGAGTCTCACTCTATCGCCCAGGCTGGAGTGCAGTGGCGTGATCTCAGGTCACTGCTCCCTCTGCCTCCCAGGTTCAAGTGATTCTCCTGCGTCAGTCTCCCAAGTAGCTGAGATTACAAGCACGTGCCATGATGTCCAGCTAATTTTTGTGTTTTTAGTAGAGACAGAGTTTCACCATGTTGTCCAGTCTGGTCTCAAACTCCTGATCTCATGAGATCTGCCTGCCTCAGCCTCCCAAAGTGTTGGGATTACAGGCGTGAGCCACCATGCCTGGCTAAAATGTAGGCACAGGTTTAACTAGTTTTCTGTTTGTTTCCAATCTCAATTAAACTCACTAAATTTAGGGGGGAAATCTCGTGTTTTGGCCCAGTCTCAAACCGGCGACCTTTCGCATGTGAGGCGAATGTGATAACCACTAAATTACAGAAACCAGGCATGGGCCCACTTTTTATTCATGAGCTTGCCAGTCTTTGGAGGCAGAAAACCATGGGACAATGCCTGCATGGGGTGTGGAAAGGCCTACAAGCGAAACACATCTCCCCTACGTATGATTTGCTATGTTGTTTGGGGAGTAGACAGAATTCTAAGATGGCCTGCAAGATTTCTGCCCTGTGATATATACAACCTGTGTAATTCTCTCTCCTTGAGGACCTGTAAATATGATGGAATGCCACAAGGTTTGTGATTAGGTTACATTAGATAGCAAAGGTGAAAGTGCCCATCTGGTGGCAAGCAGCCAGCTGTAGTGGGGGTTTATCACTTTGCCCTCTAAATGCATTATTGTGCCACTGCTACCCTGCCTGCCTTTGTCCCTTAGGGTCTGGAACAGAGCCAAGCCTGTCTAGGGGGCCGTTTTGAGCTGGTCTGTGGAAGACCTTAGAGATGGCTTTGTTTGTTTGTTTTTCTTTCTTTAGACAGTCTTGCTGTGTTTGCCCAGACTGGAGTGCAGTGGCACAATCTCGGCTCACTGCAACCTGTGCCTCCCAGGTGCAAGCGATACTTGTGCCTCAGCCACCCAAGTAGCTGAGACTACAGGTGCACGCCACCATATCTGGCTAATTTTTGTATTTTTATTTTTTGAGACAGAGTCTTGTTGTCACCCAAGCTGGAAGGCAGTGGTGTGATCTCAGCTCACCGCAACCTTCGCCTCCTGGGTTCAAGGGGTTCTTCTGTCCCAGTCTCCCGAGTAGCTGGGATTACACGTGTGAGCCACCGTGCCCAGCCTATTTTTGTATTTTTAGTAGAGACGGGGTTTCACCATGTTGGCCAGGCTGGTCTGGAACTCCTGATCTCAAGTGATCTGAAGTGATCTGCCCGACTCGGCCTCCCAAAGTGCTAGGATTACAAGCGTGAGCCACCATGCCTGGCCACAACCTTATAGATGTATTATGGGTTTCACTTCCCTTAAAACCACTTCCTCTTTCCCTTGCCATCTTCACAGGTCTCTGCCCTACCCAGGGGGAAGCTATCAGATAATTTTACCTATGTTGTGGTTATAACTTAATAAAAGTTAAAAAAAAAAAAAAAAAGAAAGAAAGAAAGAAAGAGAGAAACCCCAAGGTCAGTACTTAAACTGAGGAACTAACTTGTTAATAATGGTGGAACACCAGGCAGCATGAGAGCTGGTAAATTGGGAGATTTGGGCCTTATCCTCACTACATGCCCCATCCTCACCCTCTGCAACACACATGTCACCTACACACAGCAGCGTGGTAGAATGAGAATTAAGAGAAACTCAGAGCCCCAGATTTAGCGGTAGGAGTGCAGGATTCAAATCAATTGTAGGCTTTGCCATCTGCTGTGACCTTCGCCTCCTCTCTTGGAGCCTGTTACCCCATCTGTAAAATGAGGAGGAAATACTGACTAGGGCCATGATTCTTAACCCTGGTTGCTCACTAGATTCACATGAGAGGGTTTCAAACAATACAGATGCCTGAGCTCCACACTCAGAGATGTTAATAGAATTGTTCCATGGCATGGCTGGTATATTAATTTTTTTTTTTTTTTGAGACGGAGTTTCACTCTGCTGCCTAGGCTGGAGTGCAGTGGCGTGATCTCGGCTCACTGCAGCCTCCTCCTCCCGGATTCAAGCAATTCTCCTGCCTCAGCCTCCTGAGTAGCTGGGACTACAGGCGCCCGCCACCACGCATGGCTAATTTTTTGTATTTTTTGGTAGAGACGGGGTTTCACCGTGTTAGCCAGGTTGGTCTGTATCTCCTGACCTCGTGATCCGCCCGCTTCGGCCTCCCAAAGTGCTGGGATTACAAGTGTGAGCCACTGCGCCCGGCCCAATTTTAAAAATTTTTTGTAGAGATGGGGGTCTTGTTATGTTGCCCAAGGTGGTCTCGAACTCCTGGGCTTAAGTGATTCTTGCGCCTCGGCCTACCAAAGGGCTGGAATTAAGGCCCAGTTTTTAAATAGAAATAAAACGAGAACTTAATGCTTGGATGGAGAACAGTGCCACCTGCTGGTTTCACTTTGCATTAGCAATATCTAAATATCTGCCAATGCCATGTAATGCAAATCGCTGTTTATTGAGCACCAACGCAACATGCAAGGCATTGTGATGCACCCTATAGGTCATGCAGAGATAAAAGCTCCTTTCCCCATGAAGCTGACAACCTAGAGGGGACAATCGGCATGTACATAAAACCTTTGATCCAAAGTGGGCAGCCGACATGGTCCCACTGCGGTTCTGTGGTAATACAAGAAACAAACCTGGGGCCAGGGCTGGCTTCATGGGTGTGCAGCCTGTGCTTGAAAGGGCTGTGCACTTGGTTTCATCATTTCCTGTGGCTGTCTTGAAATTCTTTTCTTTTTTTTGCATCCTGTGTTCAGTCAAATTGAAATTCTTTAATACTTTTTGAACAAGGGGCCATTTTGCACTGGGGCCCACAAATGATATAGCTGGTTCTACCTAGGGTAGTTTGGGAAATTTTGGAAGAGGCGACATATGACCGGGCAGGGCAGTAGTGGAGGGAGAGGAAAACAGGAGGCACATTGTAGTGTGGAAGGGGAGGTGGGATCCTTAGGCCTGGGTGACTGGGTGGTGTGGGGGAAGGAGTTAGAGCTGGTGCTGCAAGGCAGGTGGAGAGGGAAAGGGGTTCGATATAAGATGGCTTCAGACTCAGTGCAAGGAAGACCTCCAAGGACAGTTTCAGCAGCTGGAACTCAGAAGGTAGGCCAGGGCTGGAACTTTGGTCACAGACTTCCAGATGGATACCTTGGTGACACCAAAGGTTATAGGATCCCCTGAGATGGGTGAGGACTAAGACAGAGCTGTTTGGCTGGGCCTCGGCTTTTGGCCCAGACTAGATTGTTGGCTTCTAGGACTCCTGCCTTGAGGAGTGGTGGAGGAAGACTTTGGGGCAGGGCTGGACAATGAGCGCTTGAGCCCCAATTCCCCATGTGATGTGCTATGACACTCTTCTCAGCCTCTTTCCTCCTGGCTGCCTGCTTCAACACCACCATGGACGGTGAGTCAAGCACTCATTTCAGGGATATTTCCCATTCAACTCATTCGCTGCATTCCTCCGCCAAGATTCACCTTCAGGGGCCACAGACTTCTTCCTCACCTCTCACAGTGGGCTGCAGCCTGCTGACCGCAGATGACAGAATTTAGTCAAGACTTTGGGAAGGCTAAAGAACACACCTTGTTTCTTCTCCTCTGGGTATTGTTAGTTGCTTTTTTCTCATGGGACTTTCCATACCCTGGCGGGGAGGGGGGGAGGAGTTTTACAAGAAATTAGCTCTTCCTTAGGAGGTCAAGTTCTTCCCCAGCGGGTTAGAACCTGGAACCCACATTTCAGACCAGTTTTCCCATCAGGCACCACCAGAGGCTAGTACAGGTAGCTGGCACCCATGATACTTATCTGTATCCTTGATTCCAACAGTCCAAGCCAGTGTTCTGCCTGTTTTTTTTTTTTTTTTCTTCCCTACCTAGCACAGACTAGGTAGAGGGTGGGTAGGGTGGTCAGGAATAGATTGTGATTCTGTCCATCAGCCCCATGTAGAGAGGCCCCTCTCTCAACTACGTTATTGCCCAGTCAATCCCAGGAGTTCTGCCCAGGGCTATCCTGGGAAAGCTTTGTTTCGAAAGGGTCCTGTGGTCACTTCTGGGCCTGGGGTGCACCCTTGCTTGGGATGGAGAGATAGCTGGTAGGGTAACATCCCCAGGGCAGGGATGAGGACTCAGGATGCCAGCTGCCTCTGCACCCTGTTCCTCCTCTAGAAAATGTCAAAAAGGTAGGCGCTCTGCTCCATCAGACTTGTGGTTATTTTCTTTCTGTGCAGGTCCCCTTTTTGTGTGTGTGGGTGCGAGGGTTGGGGGAGGCATACTTGGGGAGATGGCTCATACAGACCAAACTCTGCCTTGGATAGGGTTAATTTTAATGCAGCCGTGGAAACCCTGATCCTCAGGACTGCATCCTGCTAGGCCTGTGGGAGAAGTGACTTGGGGGACAGTTAAGGCGGCAAGACCTCATCACTGTTCAGGCACCTGCCCAGCACCTGCCCAGCCACCAAAGCTGTAGGCCAGGGAGCAAACACAGGCAAGAGTACTATGCTTGGCTGCAGTCAGAGGGATTCTCAGGAGGAGCAGGTCTTTGTGCTCCAGGGAAGGGCACAGTGCTCTAGGTGGGAACTGGTGTACCAGGTGGGACCAAATGCCCCAGGTGAGACTCAGAGAGACCCGGTGCTACACGTGGATCTAATATTCCAGGCAGGACCTGGTGCTCCAGGGTCCTCGTGCCCCAAGAGCTTGCCCCCCATGCCTGGGTGTGTGAAGCTGTGTGTTTTCTCTTCAAGAGAGGACACAGATGCCTGGAGGGTAAATGTCTCGGACTTGGCTCCTCTGGGCATGTGAAATTGTGTGTGAGAGGCAGGGAGAGCTGAAGAGAGAAAAGGACAGAGGGATAGGGCCACACAAATAGATCCGTAGACTAAGTACTGAGGGGGAGGGGGGAGAGAGAGGTTTAGAGACAGAGTGAGAAGAGATGAAGACAGGGAGAGCCACACACGATGGACACAAAGACAGCACCACTCAGGTCGTGTCTTCCTGTATGTGTAAGGATGAGGGAGGGAGTAAGCCGGGTAAGAGCCACCAGGCCCGCTTTCTAGGGTGAGCCTTCAGCTGCCCTTCTACAGCAAAGGGGCAAGGAAGCAGGGCCTAGATCCCAGAAACACGTCCCCGCGCCTGGCTCGGGCACAGCCCTCCGCGGTGGGCAGCCGGGATTCCCGGGCGCGCCTAAGTCTGGATGAAGAGGTGGAAGTTGGTGCGGGTGAACTCCTGATGGATGCTCTCCAGAAGCGCGTCGGCGTCGGTGGCGGGCTCGGGGACGCCGGTGTGACCCGGCCGCGCGCTGTATTCCGGGGTATAGGTGAAGGAGAAGGCACTAGGGTAGAAGAGCCCATCGGAGCGCACCAGGCTCACGGGGATTGTGATGGGAGCGCGCAGCCAGCGCCAGTCGCTGCAGAAGGCCGCCACGTCCGGCACCACGCACACCAGGGACCGCGGGCTCCTGGGGGTGCAGCACCAGGGTGAGAACTGCGGAGACTCTGATGACGCGTGCGCCCCCTTCCCCAGCTCCCCGGGGCCCAAGGGAGGCTGCCTCCCCACCCCGTACCTGTACATGGTTTCCGCCTCCACGTCCCCAAACCACACCTTGAGCCCCGCATGGAAGTTCTCTCCGTGGAGCTCCAGCGTGGCCACGTCGCCCCCGCCACTCAGCTGGGGGAGGGTGGGACCAGGTGAGGTGAGAGAACCGAGCAGGGTGGGAACCTGATACCCCCCACTCACTAGCACTCCCACTCTCCACTGCAGGCAAGGTCCCCCTGCCCAACGCCCCTAGCGCCCGGCTTCACCTCTAGGGTGCTGATGAGAGGCACCGGAGTGACCGGTTCCAGGGTACACGCCAGACTGGTGCTGAAGGAAAATTCCACCGACTCGGTGCCGATGATGGTCCAGCAAGAGCTGTCATTAAGCAGAGCCCTGTTCGCCTCCTTGGGGCAGGGAGAAGCCTGGGAGGAGACCCGAGGGGACGAGGCCGAAGCTTCTCATGGTGGCCACCAGCCTAGGGAGCCAGCACGGCACGTGGCCTTCTGCATTAGACTGAACTGGATACTAATCCTAGGCTCTGGGGTTCACTTGTCCCCTCAGCTTGGACAGTGCCCTTAAGTTCTCTCACTTAGAGTTAAGTAAGCTTGTTGGGCTAGCTGATTTTTCCTTTTTTCCTTTCCTTTCCTTTCCTTTCCTTTCCTTTCCTTTCCTTTCCTTTCCTTTCCTTTCCTTTCCTTTCCTTTCCTTTCCTTTCCTTCCTTCCTCCCTCCCTCCCTCTTTCTTTTTCTTTCTCTCTCCTTCCTTCCTTCCTTCCTTCCTTCCTTCCTTCCTTCCTTCCTTCCTTCCTTCCTTCCTTCCTTCTTTTCTTCTTTCTTTCTTTCTTTCTTTCTTTCTTTCTTTCTTTCTTTCTTTCTTTCTTTCTTTCTTTCTTTCTTTCTCTCTTCCTTTCTTTCTTTTTCTTTCTTTCTTTCCCTCCCTCCCTCCCTTCCTTCCTTCTTTCCTTCCTTCCTTACTTTTTGAGACTGAATCTTGCTCTGTCACCCAAGCTGGGTGCAATGGCCTGATCTCAGCTCACTGCAACCTCCGCCTAGTGGGTTCAAACGATTCTCCTGCCTCAGCCTCCTGGGTAGCTGGGATTAGAGGTGCCGGCCACCACACCCAGATACATTTTTTTGTATTTTTAGTAGAGACGGGGTTTCACCATGTTGGCCAGGCTGGTCTCAAACTCCTGGCCTCGTGATCCTACTGCCTCAGCCTCCCAAAGTGTTGGGAGTACAAGTGTGAACAATTGGCCCGGCCTGGGATAGTTGATTTCTAAGGGTCTTTTTTCTTGGGATTCCAGAATTCTGTTTTTTTTTTTTTTTTTTTACACTTTGTACAATTCTATGCTCTAATAATCTACAATTTTAATATTCTTTGGGAAGGAATATTGTTCCTTTGGGAAGGAATATTCTTGGGGAAGGAATATTACTTGCTATTTTCCACATATTATAATTCAATCTCCTAACATTCTATGATAATACTCTTTTGGGAGTACTACTGCTTAATGATAATTATGATTTTCCACATTCTATAATTTCCTACATTCTGTGTCTTTATCTGTGCTTCAAATAGTCTTTGCTCAATAATTCTCTGCTCTCTATTACCTACCATGATTTTTATTTACATTCTACAATTTTATATCCCAATTTATTATTATTATTTTTTGAGATGGAGTCTCGCTCTTGTCACCCAGGCTGGAGTGCAATGGTGTGATCTCGGCTCACTGCAACCTTCACCTCCCGGGTTTAAGCGATTCTCCTGCCTCAGCCTCTTGAGTAGCTGAGATTACAGGCGCCCACGACCATGGCCAGCTAATTTTTGTATTTTTGGTAGAGATAGGATTTCACCATGTTGGCCAATCTTAGTCTCAAACTCCTGACCTCAGGTGTTCTGCCCACCTCAGCCTCCCAAAGTGCTGGGATTACAGGCGTCAGCCACCGCGCCTAGCTATATCCCACTATTTTATGACTCTAAAATTCTTTGGGAAGGAATATCACTTCATACTATTACTTATTACTATTTTTCTACATCCTATGATTCTGTCCTGGGGTCTATGACTTTCATGTTCCATGGGAGGCTGCTCAGGAAGTAGCAACCATCGTGAGGTGATGATCTTACATTCTGTGGTTCTCTGCATTTTCACTTTCCAGGACACTTGGTGCTGGTATTCTCTGCTTCTTACCTGAAATTGCACCACCTTCTCTGTGGCAAGGCATAAGTAGGTGCCACCCCCTCCTGGGGGACTGCCAGGAAACTGCAATGCACACTTGTGCAGCTGGGAGATGGGCTCATCCACATCAAGGAGCGCACACTGTTTGGCTACTTTACGAATGATCTGCAATGGAAGAGTGGTAAGAATGGTGGTGGCAAGGAGCCTGGGTATCCAGAGGCTGCCCTCCCAGCCGGCTCTCTGCTACTCCAATAGCCACACAGGCACTAGCAGACTCCCGCTGAGCTTTGACTTCTGTCTGGTCCTAAGTGACACTGGGTGAGAATAGCTGTCTCCCTGCCTTGGGGCCTCACTCTCCAGCCCTGCCTGTGTGTGCCACATTGTCTGCATAGATCTGAGGGGACCCCTCCAGGCATACCCTCCCTTCCTATACCATGGGAGGTAGAGTGATGCCGGTGAGCGTGCAGACGAGCCGCACCAGGGAGCCATAGCGAACGTAGCCCTCTCGCGGTGGGAAGTCTCCTTGGGAAGAATGCCCATCAGCTGGGGGTCAAAAAAAAGCAAGAGACAAGGTTTTCAGCTGCCCCCAAGCTTCTGCCTTAAACCCTGCCTTCTTGCCTCTGGCTCTTCCTCACATCACACATGGGCCCTGCGGGAGGGGGTGGTTCTCAGGGGAGCCACTAACACTGAAGTTTTTAATTCTGGAGAGGCCATCTGAGGCCATCCTCACAAATGTCTGCCCCGGGGGCAGGGGTTGGGGGCAGGCAATTTAGTTGATATAAGGGGAAAGGGCATGGATAACAGAGTCAGAATAGCTTGGAACAGTCATCAGCTCATTGGGACTGTGGTCCAGTCTTTTTGTGTTTCTGTGCCTTAATCACATGGGGCAGAGTTTACCTTCCTTAAGGAATTGTGGTGGAAGTTAAATAAGCTAATGTATGTGAAGTGCCAGCCCCAGGGCCTGCAGATGTCATTACCCAGGTGGAGTGTGAAGGCAGCCCACTGTCGCGCACTGGCCACAAAGGCCCCGTCCTCCACAGAGAGGTAGCGTGTGGAGACTGTCTGAGAGCGCAGGCGGTTGAAGAGGGAGACCTTTGAGCCGGAGGATATGCACACTGTGAGGGTGAGGGTGAGGGTTAGGGTGAAGGTGAGGGTGAGGGTTAGGATTAGGGTGAGGGTGAGGGTAAGTGTTAGGATTAGGGTGAGGGAGGGGGTGAGGGTTAAGGTTAGTTGGTGCTATCAGTGCCCTGTCCTGGCTTGGTCCCTTGGATGTTCCAGACAGTTTCCAATCCTCTGGCCCTGTGCCGGCCTGGCTGATGTGCCTATGGGCCTAGACACATTGGGCAATGTGAACTGGGCATTCCCAGTTCACAGCTATTTTTCTAGGGCCTGCTGCAGTCCTGGTTCGGAACCTTTGCCTGCTCCTTTTGCTGCCTGGACATCGTTCAGTTCATAAACAAAAGTAAAACTTATTTATTATTTATTTATTTTTTTGAGACAGCTTCTCACTCTGTCACCCAGGTTGGACTGCCGTGGTGCTATCACAGTTCACTGCAGCCTCGACCTCTTGGGCTCAAGTGATCTTCTGATCTCAGCCTCCCAAGTAGCTGGGACTGCAGGTGCAGGCCACCATGCCCAGCTAACTTCTTTTTTTGGTAGAGACAAGGTTTGGCCATGTTGCCCTGGCTATCCTTGAACTCCTGAGCTCAAGTGATCCGCCCACCTCGGTCTCCTAAATTGTTGGGATTACATGCATGAGCCACTGTGCCCCGCCTATGTCACTTTTAGTCTGTCCCTAATTCAACCCCCCTGCCTAGTTCAAACTCTGTCTAGTTCAACTTTTGTCTGTTCTGGGACCCCAACTCCCAACCTGGAATTTGGTATCTGTCCCTTTCCTCTCTGCTTTTCATCCTCCAACTCTTCTCATCCCCAGGCCTGGGCCGCACCCTCTCATCCAGACTCCTTCCCTTCTCAGCTCCCACTCTACCTTTTCCACTCTGACCCCACCCCTATAGTGCAGCCTACCCCCACCTGGGGTAGCTGCTCTGGGCTTGGATGCACCTCCCGCATCAGGCCCCGCCCTGCTCACGATCGGTGTTTTTGAGCGACTGCTTCTTCTGCGAGGGCTTCGAGATGACCTTGATGAGGCGGCTGTGGAAGGTTCCCAGTTCCCGGCCCCCGCGCAGCACCAGCCGCAGCACCAGCCGGAAGTGCTTCCTCTTGTCTGCATCTGAGATGTACAGGGTCTTGGCGCAGCCGAATTCCTAGGGGGCTCGCGGGGACAGGGCCGTCTCATCCCAGCCCTCCCCTGTCGGATGAACCAACCTCTCCCAGATATCGGACGTCCGCCCCGTCGGAGGTGACCAGAAGCTCCACCATCCAGACTCTCAGGCTCTGCCTTAAGGCAGGACCCTGGCCTCCCGGTCTCCCCACCTATCTCTTGGCTTTCGGAAGGGAGTAATAAAGGAGACCTCCTTTCCCAGGAGAGGCAGGGATGGGAGCAGGAATCGGACCCCTTCCCGTGCGCTCTCACCCTGGAGTCCGGCTGCTGCTCGAAATTCAGCTTCTGCGTCTCAGCGGCGCTGCCGGACGCGCTGTCCAGTCCCATGTAACCGCAGACCGTGGGCCCCGTCTCCCCGGCCTGGTGAGCTGGAAAGGGACGCGAACTGGCTCTGGAAGGACTCGGGAGGACGCAGGTGCCACGCTCGCCGCCAGAGGGCGCGGGGAAACTGCGCCTGCGAACCGCCCCTCTCTCGGGCCCAACCTCGTGCTTCTCCCTACCGAGCAGGCGGCCGGCAGCCCTTGAGTCCGCCCTCACCTTGGTCCTGCCCTGGCTTCACCCTCCATCCGGGCCCCGAGAGGTAGACACAGGGCGGGGGGCAGAAGAACCTGTGGAGATAAGTTCGTGCATCCATCTCCACTCGGCTGTCCTGTAAGCACCGCAAGGTAGTAGCATAAACCCAGCAGAACCTTCGTTTCCTCCTCCCGCTCCCACCCCCCTCCCCACGCTTTTTCATGACTGTAAACCCCATTCATATCCAAACCCTTATTGTTTTTACATCCCTCATTCAACTCATCAGAAAGTCTTATCCACTCCACCTTCAAAATATAATATATTCAGAATCCACTGGCTTCTTACCACCTCACCCTTCATCCCAGCCGCCATTACTTTTTGCCTGGACCACAACATCAGCCTTCAAACTGTTCTATTTCCAGAAAGTTCTGTTTCTATCTCCTTCCCATTTCACACAGCAGCCACAGTGCTCCCTCCTTCTCCCCTCCCCTCCCTCCCTCTCTCTCTCTCTCTCTCTCTCTCTCTCTCTTTCTCTGTTTCTCTCTTTCTCTCTTTCTTTCTTTTTCTTTTTTTACTTTTTGAGACAGGGTCTTGCTCTATTGCCCAGGCTGGAATGCAGTAGCTTGATCTCGGCTGTCTCGGCTCACTGCAACCTCTGCCTCCCCAACTGATCCTCCCACCTCAGCCTCCTGAGTAGCTGAGACTACAGACACGAGCCACCACACCCATCTAATTTTTGTATTTTTTGTACAGACATGGTTTTGTCATGTTGTCCATGCAGATCTGGAACTTCTGGGCTCGAGCAATCTGCCCACCTGGGCCTGCCAAAGTGCTGGGATTACAGGCATGAACCACCAGGCTGGCCAGAATGTTTTGTTAGAAACGTCAGTCAAATCATGTTAACTCCTTAAAATCCTCCACTGGCTAAAAATTAAAAGTCCTCCTGCGATCTGACCTCTGCTTCCCTCTCCAACTTGTTTCCTACAACTCCTCTCTCTGATTTCAGCCACTGTGACTTCTTTTGTACCTCAAACAGGCCTAGTTGGTACAGCCTCAAGGTCTTCCCATTTTCTGTTGCCTTTTTTTTTTTTTTTTTTGAGACTGAGTCTTGCTCTGTTGCCAGGCTGGAGTGAAGTGGCATGATCTCGGCTCACTGCAACCTCTGCCTCCTGGGTTCAACCAATTATCCTGCCTCAGCCTTCTGAGTAGCTGGGATTACAGGCTCTCACCACCACGCCCAGCTAATTCTGTATTTTTGGTAGAGAGGGGGTTTCACCATATTGGCCAGGCTGGTCTCGAATTCCTGACCTCAGGTCATCTGCCCACCTTGGCCTCCCAAATTGCTGGGATTACATGTGTGAGCCATTGTGCCCAGCCCTTCTGTTCCTTCTAATTGTAGCATGCTTTCCCCAGATTTTCTCCTGTCTGGCTCCATTTTAACATTCCAGTTTCAGTTCCAATGTTACCTCCCAAAAGGTCTCTTGACCTCCTTGACCTTTCTAGCTAATGTCTCCCCTGCCTCCAGTTTCTGTCAAATGGCCTTGTCCAGTTTTCCTTCTAGTGCACATCATAATCTGCAAGTGTCTTGTTTACTGATTTGTGGGGAGTTTACTGTCTGTCTCTTCCACACTTGAGTGAGAGTGTGGGCTAAGGAGCAGGGGCTGTTTCTGTCTTGTTCAGCTGTATGCCCAGTGCCCAGCAGTACCCACAGTACCTGGTGCATACATGATAAACACTCAGTAAGTAGTTGTTGAATGAATCAATAAGTGAATAAATGGGAGAATGAGTGAATGAATGGAGACAGGAGATTCACAGGAAATCTCCTGCTATAGAACTATAGACCAAAGTGGGGGCTAATGATGGCTGAGGGTCAAGGCCCTGGTCGACCAATAGCTGAGATTTCAGCCCTGAGGCCTCTTCTGGGTCTAAAAGAGGCCCAATGGGTGGATGGAGGGGTGCATAGGGCTGACAGTTGCAGAGACTTGGGAGGGGCTGCCGAGGCACCTACCGCTTCTCATTTCCGTACGATTTCTGGGCCACCTTGGCATGCACGATCCGCACAGTCTGTTCACACTGTTGCTGCAGGCACCTGCGCACGCCTCCCCTCAGAATGGTGGTGTGCTCTGGGGATGACCTGGGAGTGGGGCAGGCAGGTCGACCGGCCACAGGAAGAAGGGTCAAGGTGGCACAGGGTCCAAGTACTCAGGTTGAGTAAAATGAAGTGGGCAGGGGGTTAGAGTAAGTGGGGGGGGCTGCTCTATATTCTGCCCCCGTGGGATCAGGAAGAGGAAGCATTAGGTAAGGAGGAGACTTGGCTGAAGATTGCAGGCTAAATATTTAGGCTGCGAGGTGCTCAATGAGGCCTGCATGGAGCCCACGGGACCACCCAGGTTCCACTCTGCGGGTCTGGCACCATGCCCATTGGAGCCCAGGGCCATAGGGACACGTGGCTGTGACACAAAGGCCACACTTATACAGGCCTTGGGATGGAGAAGAGTATTTTAGGGCTGATGGAATTAGTAGAGATGAAGCTTCCCCATCCTAGGCAGCAGGGAGGGGAAGGGGGAGCCTTTGTTGGGCTCCTGGCCTGGAGCGCTCTCTAGCCTCCTGCCTGCAAACAGAAAAGGGCCCAAAACCTTGTCCCCAGGATGGGGGGTGGCCTGGGGGAATCTGAGCCTTTCTGAGGCCAAAGTCATATTCTTCCTTTTCTCCCATGAGAAGTGACCTGTTGCTGTGTTGGCTTTCCTTCCCTTGATTACAGAAGTCAAGGCAGATGACATTGGTTCTGCAGTTAGCCAGGTTAGAGCCTAGAGGCCTGGTGGCTTCTCAGTCTGGGGTTCTTGAGCGGTGTGGGTGGGTGGGTTCAAGCAATTGCAGGGAGTAAGTAGAGGAGGGGAGGTGGGAGACATTTGGGGGGTTAGCAGGTTGAGGCCAGGAGAGCCATGAAAACTGAGGCTGTCCTTCTGAGCCCTTTATCCTCTTGGCAGGACCGGAGTCTCTCCTCACTCCTGGAGGGGACAGCGTAGGACCGCACCCTCGAAAGCCAGGCCAGACAGGCAGCAGCCACAGCCAGAACCGCTCCACCCCGTGGGGCTCTCCTTAGGGAAGTGCCTTCTAAGCTTCCAATGAATTCCGGCTGCGGAGTGTGGCTGCCCCAGTCTCCCCAGTCTCCTGCTGTAGCCGAATTCCAGCCTGGCCCGCAGCTAGCCCTGTCTGCAGCTCCAAGGGTGGTAGGAGCAGGGGGTGCTGGGTTCGCCCCGCCTCAGGAGGAAGGGGGGGATGCCTCCCTGCCAGTGGGAGGGGTTGCAGCCTGCGCTTCCCCTCCCCACCCACCAGCCCTGGGTTAAATGCGGCCGCCGCCTCTGCGTGCTCCAGCTGCCTGGCAGTCCCCACCTAGGGCACGCTGCCACATCGTTACCTGGTCCAAGTGCCCGGGAGGCTCCGCCTGTCGGCTTCGCTCTGCAGTTGCATCTCTGATCTGTCCGGCAGGCTCAGGTGAGTCAAAGGGTTGGGAGGCATTGAGGGGTCTGCAGGGGAGTAGGCATCAAGCCAGATCAGGCAACTGTATTTTAGCAGAGGCACCGCCTATGGTGCCCTGTCTGACCTGCAGTGCCCTTCCCCACTTCTGCAGGGTCCTTTCCAAATCGAGCCCCCACCAGCAAAGCCATCAAAATAGGGTCATCCCTTTTCTACTCTCGTCCCTCCAGGAACCCCCTGAAATGTCCCTAAGGGACATTTGAGAAATTATTTACAGGCCTCTCCTCCCTTGCTGCTCCACTCTCTCAGCCCCACCTCAGGGCATCTCTGAATCTTTCTTTTTAATGCAAGGATTAATTCCTCAGAGGAATCCCGAGTTCTAGTGTCAATCCTGCCAGACATCGCTGTGTGCCCTTCAGCAACACACTACCCTCTCTGGACCTAGTTCCTTTCTTTGTAGAATGAGGGGTTTGGAAAGGTGATGAACTTCGAGGCAGTCGCTGTTGTGACTTTCTAGGATTCCTGGGGTGGAGGCAGGGTGCCAGGTGAGAAGTTGGCTCACACCAGGAATGGGATGAGGGGAACCTTAACCAAGATTTGGGGGCCCAGAGGTATCTCCGGGTGGGAAAGTATGGGAGGTGGCAGAGGCCCCTTGTGCCTTAGCCCTCATGCTGCCCAGGGATGCTGGCCTCTCCTGTGGCCCAAACCAGAGAAGGGTTCCCCGCCCTCCCACTTCCACCAGTGCTGCCACATCTTGCTTGGTCGCCCTCCCACGACCGGCCCTGCCAGAGGGATTTCTGTTCTTCTACCAGGCCTGGGAGGGGAAAGGGGAGAAGAATCCAGGATGAGAAGGTCGCCTGGAGTGAGAAGCAGGCACTGGCCTTGCTCAGAATAGGCGCATTCACGGAATTGGGGGGCGGGGGCGGGGCTGCGGTTGGGTTAGGGGCGGCTGGCTCTCTCTGCCAGGAAACAGCAACAGAAAAATGGCTAACACAGCTTCAGCATGGGGCGCGGGGGTGGGGTAGGAACTGGAAGGAAAAGAGGTTTAGTGACTTCTAGGCGCCAGGGGGCCTCAAGAGGGAGAAGGGGAACCAGGAGCCCTAGGTTCTAATCCTGCTTTTGCAGCTCGGCGGGCTGCCTTCTTGGGGCTTAGTTTTCCTATTTGTACAGTGGGGCGAGGTGGGGGGGGGATCCTTCGTAGTTCTCACGGGGCGTCTGCGGGCCACGGGAGGGTGAGCGCTCACCTGCTGCCCCTGCAGTGTCCATGGCGACTCTACGGGGCCCCAGCTGCTCACTCGTCACCCCTGGACGAGTCCAGTGCTGCTGTGGCTGGAACCCTGCACACCCCTGCTCCCTAGCTCCTGCGCGGGATATATCCTGTCCAGGCCTTATCTCCAAGGCCCCGGGCCCCAGCCCCGTGTTTGCTCGGGGTTGGCGCACCTGCTGGGCAGATGTGGGCTTCCCACGCCCCCTGCCGTCTCGGGCGTCCCCTGGCGGTCGCTCCTGAGAGCAGGCGGGAAACAGGCGCCAAGCCGCGCGTTCTTGTGCGCGGTGGGTTTTGGTCCACTCGCTGCCGCGCCACCGCGCTCAACCTCCGCAACAGGGCGCAGCCCCTCCTCGCCGCCTGCGGTTGGGCAGTACGTGTCTGTGTTCGTGTGTATGGAGGAGTCTGGCGGGTGGGGGTGTTGGCGAGTTGCAAAGACAGCCACACAGAACCTTGTGTGTGTAGGGGAGTGGGCCGAGGTGGAGAAGGGCTTCTGTCTGCAGAGATTCGCCTGGCAGGAGGAGAGGCACCAAAAGCCCAGAATGGCTCACAGAAACCTGCAGGCGTGGGATTCTGTCCTGTCGCAGCCATTTTTTGGCCGAATGACTTTAGGTACCAGCGCTTAACTTTTCTGAGCCTCAATTTCCTTGTCTGTATGATAGGGACAATCACAGCCTTACTCTTAAAATTGCAGAGAGGATAAAATACCACAATGCGTGACGAGCATTTAACACTGTGCCTGACATTTAAGAAAGACCTGGTTTTTTTTGTTGAATTTTTGTATTTGTATCTATGTATCTATTCTTATTTAGTATTCTGCAGTTCCACAAATCATCTCTCGTGGGCTGAGCGCGGTGGCTCATGTCTGTAATCCCAGCACTTTGGGAGGCCGAGGTGGGAGGATCACCTGAGGTCAGGAGTTGGAGACCAGCCTGGCCAACATGGCAAAACCCCCTCTCTCTACTAAAAATACAAAAAATTAGCCAGGTGTGGTGGCAGGAGCCTGTAATCCCAGCTACTCGGGAGGCTGAGGCAGGAGAATCGCTTGAACCTGGGAGGCAGAGGTTGCAGTGAGCCAAGATAATACCACTGCACTATAGCTGGGGCAACAGAGCAAGACTCCATCTCAAAAAAAAAAAAAAAAACAACAACAACAAAAAGAATCTCTTGTGTTTCCCACCAATTCCACTGTGATGAGAATTTTTAAATTCTGAAACATTTCAAACATGCACAAAAATAGAGAGATTAGTAAAATAAACCCCTAACTCACTTCCCCCTCCAAGTGCCTATCACCCAGAATAAGAGCTCTGTAAATAATGTTACTTTTCTGTTTTCCTTCCTCCCTCCAGGCTCTAACAGCTCCATTCTCTGTCCCCAAGCGCCATGAGAGGCCTTCTTTGCTGGCTCGTGTTGCTGTTCCTTCTTCAGCCCTGGGAAAGCCAGCTCCAGTTGGCAGGTGAACTGGGGCCCAGACCTCACCAGTGGGAGGAGGGGAGCGGAAGCAGGTCCTTCTTCTGCAGCCAGCTCCTCCTGCTGGGGAGAGGGAAGCAAGGGCTTTGCAACATATGGGACTGGGTTTAAGTTTCCCACTTCAACTTTCTGGGCCCCAGTTTCTTCATCTGTAGGATGTGGCTTAGTTTTGGGCACATGCAGTAACTGCCCATTGGGTTTTTAATTTGGAAAAATTATTTGAAAACATGAAAAAAACAGGAAATTTTACATAAAAATCCCTGTTTAGTACTTCTCTTGAAAAATCCAGGAATCTGCTAACATCCAGTTTGCAGGCGCATGGCAGCATTTGGATGGAGCTTCTTGCCCAATTAGGAGTGATAGGGGCTCTTTGGGTCTCCACCATCCTAACCCAACCAGTTCATCCATGTTCCCTGCCTGGTCCCTGCAGGCTTTGAGTTTGCGACGCTTCCTTGCCCCCTCGTCAATGGGTAATACCTCCTCAGAATAGCCCTCAGAGCTGTAAGATGAGGGAATTTGTGAAATCTCCTAGCCCAGGTACTAGGCACATGCCGAGTGCGTGCATCTATCTAATCTGCGTTTGCTGTGCTGGGCGCTGTTATGCCGGCATAGCAGCATTTCCTCTGGGTTTCCCTGGGGTTCTCCTCGGAGGTGAGGCTTTGCTGACCTAGGAGAGTCCTCACTGATCTCCCCGCAGGTCCCAGGTGTCACACTGGGCCCCTGGATCTGGTGTTCGTGATTGACAGCTCCCGCAGCGTGCGCCCTTTCGAATTCGAGACCATGCGGCAGTTCCTCGTGGGCCTCCTCCGAGGCCTGAACGTGGGTCCCAACGCCACGCGCGTTGGCGTGATCCAGTATTCGAGTCAAGTGCAGAGCGTCTTCCCTCTCCGTGCGTTCTCGCGCCGCGAGGATATGGAACGCGCCATCCGTGACCTGGTGCCGCTGGCGCAAGGCACCATGACGGGACTGGCAATCCAGTACGCCATGAACGTGGCCTTCAGCGTGGCCGAGGGCGCGCGCCCGCCAGAGGAACGTGTGCCGCGCGTCGCTGTCATCGTGACAGACGGGCGGCCCCAGGACCGCGTGGCCGAGGTGGCGGCACAGGCCCGCGCCCGCGGCATTGAAATTTACGCGGTGGGGGTGCAGCGCGCGGACGTGGGCTCCCTGCGCGCCATGGCATCGCCCCCGCTAGACGAGCACGTCTTCCTCGTAGAGTCCTTCGACCTCATCCAGGAGTTCGGCCTGCAGTTCCAGAGCCGGCTGTGTGGTGAGTTAGGAGGGTGCTGGAGTGAAGCTCGAACTCTTAATCCAAATGCTTGGATTCCTTTCCCACCACAGTAAATCCCATCCCGTGGGGTGGCCCCGCGCTTTCCAGTTAGAGCTGCTCTGACCTACCGCAGGCTGTGTCAGATTTCAGCGCTGACCACTTCTGCTCAGGCTCCATCAACAAGGAGCAAACTATAGTTTCTTGCCCTGCCCGCCACAGCTTACCACAGGCTTAATGTCAAACTCCAGCACCAATCCCCTGCACACAAGGAACCAGTGATTCTCAAAGCTAAGAGAGATGGGCTGTTCCAAAGAGTCATGGCCCTCCCACATGGGGATGGCTTCTTCCGTTATCATCTTAGCTCCTCCCAGAAATGCTACAAGAGCTGTTCCAGTCACGTTTTGAGTTTATTCCGCCCATCTCGATTTAACACCTCTCCACCTCCTACCCACTCCTGCCCCTGCGTAGTCCTGTCTTAGCCCACTGACATGTCTAATTGGGTGCCTCCTCTTCTGAGCCTACTCACAGGGGCTCCTTAAGCCTTATTATTTCCCTAAGCCCTCCCATTTGGTATGGCCTCTCTCAAATTAGTTATTTACTTCTGAAAGCCATTTGAAGGTGATGCCTGCCTCTGACCCCATCCCCATCCAGCTCTCTCTTGTTGGAGACTTCTGCCCATCTGTTCCCTGCTGATTCTAGTCCTGTGTGTCCTCAGGGAAGGACCAGTGTGCTGAGCCGGGACATGGTTGCCAGCACCAATGTGTCAATGCCCTGGGCACGTTCCACTGCACCTGCAACCTGGGCTACAAGCTAGCAGCAGATAACAAGAGCTGTTTGGGTGAGAGCTACCCCTGTCCTGCAATCTCACTGCTCCTGAACCTTCTTTAAATCTCCATTGCCCCAACATCAGACCAATGAGTCTGGAAGGGCCTTTGGCAGTAAAAGCACACATCCATCGCTTTACAGACCTAAGAAAGAAAGGTATTGCTTGGGTTCACACAAGTCCCTGATGGGAGCCCACAGTTCAGTGTGCTTTCTACCCTCTTTCTCGATGTTTTCAGACCAGTCTCCAATTCTCCTCCCAAACTTGTTTCTGTTGTCCTCTCCTCTCCTCTTCTCTCCTTTCCTTTTTGAGACAGAGTCTTGCTCTGTTGCCCAAGCTAGAGTGCAATGGTGTGATCTTGGCTCACTGCAACCTCTGCCTCCTGGGTTCAAGCGATTCTTGTACCTCAGCCTCCCAAGTAGCTGGGATCACAGGCACCCACCACCACACCCAGCTATTTTTTGTATTTTTGGTAGAGACAGGGTTTCACCATGTTGGCCAGGCTGATCTCGAACTCCTGACCTCAAGTAATCTGCCCACCTTGGCCTCTCAAAGTACTGGGATTACAGGCATGAGCCACCACGCCCGGCTGTTCCTGTCTTCTTACAGGCACGTCCTTACAGTTTCTCTTCTTAGATACTGTTGGGGGGTCTTTAGTTAGGTGGGACTCCCCACTCATGCCGCCCGTGAGCTCTTTGTGTGCTGCTTACCTGAGCTGCCCTTGCTGCTCCCCTCTGCCCTTGAAAATCTTTCAAGATTCTCTCTTTTAAGAGATAGGGTCTTGCTATGTTGCCCAGGCTGGTCTCACACTCCTGGGCTCAAGAGATCCTCCCGCCTTGGCCTCTCAAAGTGCTGGGATTACAGGTCTGAGCTGGTTCTTCATTTTTGTCTTCTGAAAAGCTATGGCACAGAATACCTTGCTTATGCAATTGGGTGTTTTACTGAGTGCCAAGTTAGTATTAGACATTGTGCTAGGAGCATTACACACATTATTATCTCTCAGCCTCACAACAACCTGGGAAAAGAAATCATGTAATCCTGATAACCCAGATGTCAGCCGGGGTCTTCTTGTTTCCAGAAACTAAAAGTTGGCTTGAACTCTGATTTGATGACTGTTTAACATTCAAATCCCTCTCCAAGACCTCTGAAAATCCCCCAAGTGCTTACGTTCTGGTGGTCACCTCTTGCTGTGAGCCTCTGCTAAATTCATTTGATTTATGGATCCTCTCTCATTTCTCAACCCTGCACATGCTGTTCTTGTTCCATGCATGTTCATCAACCTCTTCTTTGGTTTATATACTTGTATGCAGGGGCACACACAAGTGTGTATGTGCTAAGTAACTCATAGCACACACACACACACACACAGAAAAACTCATTATGATTGAATATTAGACAGCTTTGTTTCTAAAAGTCCTCAGTCAGCCCAGTACAAGGGATTTTTCACGGGCAGCCTCAACCCACAGAGTTACTCATCTTCATACTGGCTCTCTTGTTCTTTTTTTTTTTTTTTTCTCTCTCTCTCTCTCCACTCTCATCTCCTTTCCAGGAACCCCAAATACTCACTTTTTTATACAGGGTAATTATCATGTCTCCAGTCCAGCTCTCGGCCATCTTTACCTGTCCAGACCATCAAGATGCTCAACAGGGCAATAGTTCCCCAACTTCCACAGAAGGAAGCTGTGAATAGCAATCATTCTTTTCCATTATATTCCCATTTTGCAAATAGAAAAATGGAGGCTCAGGCAGGTAAAGTGGCCAAACCTGTCCTCTGTAAGTCAGAGAGCATCTTGAGGACAGGGGCCCTGACTAATTAGGTCAGGATTATTGGGGTTGGGGCCCAGGCATAGGTATTCTTACAAATTTCCGCAGGTGGTTGTGCTACCAGAGCTGAGAAGGGCAGCCCTGGGCATAGACTGACCCCATCTCTTCCTCAGCCATTGACCTGTGTGCTGAAGGAACCCATGGATGTGAGCACCACTGCGTCAATTCCCCGGGCTCCTATTTCTGTCGCTGCCAAATTGGCTTTGTACTCCAGCAGGACCAGAGGAGCTGCAGGGGTGAGCAACACCCCCGCCCTCCCACCACACCCTGGACTGTGGCCTCCGAGGGCTCCAATCAGAGGCAACATCTTGCTGTTTCTTCCCTCCTGCCAGCCATTGACTACTGCAGCTTTGGCAACCATAGCTGTCAGCATGAGTGTGTTAGCACCCCTGGTGGGCCACGGTGCCACTGCAGAGAGGGCCATGACTTGCAGCCGGATGGGAGGAGCTGTCAGGGTGAGACGGCCTCTCCTACATTTGCGGGAGGGGTAAGAGATCTTAGCTGGTGGGGTCCATCCTGACTCATCCTGACCTGTCTCTCCCTTCAGTCCGGGACCTTTGCAATGGCGTGGACCATGGCTGTGAGTTCCAGTGTGTGAGCGAGGGCCTCTCCTACCGCTGCCTGTGCCCCGAGGGGCGGCAACTTCAGGCAGATGGCAAGAGCTGCGACCGTGAGTAACGGGTGGGAGGGCGTTCTATTGGCTTCTGCCCCTTTGCCCACATTCAGAGTGTCCTTGACTTTGCCCTTGCTGTGGCCCCTAGGCTGTGGTGTGAATGTGTGTGTGTGGTGGGGGTGACATTGGAGGGTATGCCATTCCCTGCCTCCATCTCTTTTCTACAATCCTCTATTCTGCTGTCAATGTTAATTTAAAAAATACATACTAGATTACATTCCTCCTTCGTGCACAAGCCTTATATGGCTCACCAATGCCTACAGAAGAAAGATCAAATGACTTACTCCTAAGTGTTTCAAATGGTGAGCAGAACCACATTAATGAATAATGAAATCAAATCTCTGGGTTACAACCAACATTAAAAAAATAAAGAATGGAAGACAATATAGAGTTTACTGCCTGTAGAGTTATATTATTTCTGAAACTTTAGTTCTATGTGAAATGTCTCATGATGTATTATCATTATTATTATTTTTACTGTGGGCTGTGATAAAAATTTTGAAACCACTGCCTTAGGTCATCACGATCTAGCTTCAGCCAACTCCATCTGCCCATCTCCTGCCACACTTGAACATTTCAGTCTTACTGGCCTGCCCCTCCCTGGATGTGTCAGGAACTCCCTAGATCCCAAGCCTCTGCACATGCTGCATCCCACCTTCTAGACTGTCCCTTACTGCTTTGACAAACTCCTACTGATCTTTCAAGACTGTCTTGGTTCATTCAGGCTGCTATATCAAAGTACCATAGACTAGGTGGCTTAAACAACATTTATTTTTCACAATTCTGGAGGCTGAGGAATCCAAGACCACGGTGCCAGCAGATATGGCGTCTAATGAAAGCCTGTTTTCTGATTTTTAGATGGCACACCTTTCAAAGCCTCCCCACGCCAACACACACACACACACACATACACACACACCAGTCTTCTTGCTGTGTCCTCACATGGTGAAGACAGGAAGCAAGCCTCTTCAGACTCTTTTTTTTTTTTTTTTTTTTTGGGACTGAGTCTCCCTCTGTTTCTCAGGCTGGAGTGCAGTGGCACAATCTCGGCTCACTGCAACCTGCGCCTCTGGGGCTCAACTGATTCTCCTGTTTCAGCCTCCAGAGTAGCTAAGACTACAGGTGCGTACCACCATGCTTGGTTAATTTTTGTATTTTTAGTGGAGATGGGGTTTTGCCATCTCAGCCAGGCTGGTCTCAAACTCATAACCTCAAGCGATCTGCCTGCCTCGGCCTCCCAAAGTCCTGGGAGCCACCAAGCCTGACCTCTTCAGATTCTTATAAGGACAGTAATTTTACTCATGAGCGCTGTACCCTCATGTCCTCATCTAATCCTAATTACCTCCACAGATCTCACCTCCCAAGACTAAAATTAAAACATAGGGTTTCAACAAATGAATTTTGGAAAACACACTCATTCAGTTTATAACAAAAATCAGATAGAATGCCATCACCTCCATGCAGCCTTCCTTAACAACTCCAGGAAGAATGCACTATTCCTACCTTGGGGTCCCTGAATGCTCTTCTCTTCTAGCACTTTCCTTGACCAGAGCATATGGCGTGTCTGACTTGCTCTGCTCCGTCCTCATGGATCAGGATTATGTTTTAATTCTTTCAAAACGTTTCAAAACCTCCCCACGCCAACACACACCACATTTTGGTCCTAGCAAATTCCCTGGCTCGGAATAGGGGAGGTGACATTGTAGAGTCATTCAGGAGCATGGGTTTTGGAGTCAGACGGACCTGGCTTCATGTCTTGGCTTAGTCAGTACTAGCTATGAAATCGGGGGCAATCACTTTATCCATCAGAACCTCAGGTTATAGAAAATGGGGACAATACTCAAGCTTATTGGGAGGATTGAGAATATATATAAGCACTTCACCCAGTACCTGGCACATCGTAAGCTGTTGGTAAATAATGGTTTTGTTATTATTATTGTTAATACTGGTACGTGCTTAGAAGTGTGCCTGATACATAGTAGATGATCAATAAATGGTAGTTATTGTGGTCATTATGATTGTTGTTAAAAAGATGCTTTTAGCAGAGTGTCTGGTTTGTTCTAAGCACTGAATAAATGTCAAGGGCGATGATGATGACGATGATAATGTTGATAATTATTATTATTTAGCACACTGCCTGGCACAGGAAGGACTCAGGAAATGTTATCTGTTATATAATAAATGTTTGCGAATGAACGACTAGATGGATAGACAGCTGCTGCCAATCAAGAATCTAGTCCCTCAATTCAAGCTCTTCTGGATGTGCAGGGTGCCGGGAAGGCCACGTGGACCTTGTTCTGCTGGTTGACGGCTCCAAGAGCGTGCGTCCACAAAACTTCGAGCTGGTGAAGCGCTTCGTGAACCAGATTGTGGACTTCCTAGACGTGTCCCCCGAGGGCACGCGCGTGGGACTGGTGCAGTTCTCGAGCCGCGTGCGCACCGAGTTCCCTCTGGGTCGCTACGGCACCGCAGCCGAGGTGAAGCAGGCGGTCCTGGCTGTGGAGTACATGGAACGCGGCACCATGACAGGGCTGGCGTTGCGGCACATGGTGGAGCACAGCTTCTCAGAGGCACAGGGTGCGCGGCCCCGTGCCCTCAACGTGCCTCGCGTTGGCCTGGTCTTCACAGATGGCCGCTCCCAGGATGACATCTCGGTGTGGGCAGCGCGTGCCAAGGAGGAAGGTGGGCTTGGCATGGGACACAGTGGGCTGGGGTTGGGTCAGACGCGGGCAGGCAGCTTTCCCGAGGCCTAGGGCACCCTCTGAGTCCCCGGCCCTGTAGGCATCGCCATGTATGCCGTGGGCGTGGGCAAGGCGGTGGAGGCGGAGCTGCGTGAGATCGCCTCGGAGCCAGCTGAACTGCACGTGTCCTACGCCCCGGACTTCGGCACCATGACGCACCTGCTGCGGAACCTCAGAAGCAGCATCTGCCCAGGTGAGCGCATCTCTCTCGGGGCTCCTCCTCTCTCTCGTTGCCCGCCCTCTGATATCTCCCCTTCCTATTCAATCCCTACCTCCTCTGTAGTTATAGCCAGAGGTTAGGCTTACTAGACAGAGCTTTGCTACTCCAGATGTGGTCCGCAGGCCAGCGGCAGGGCGGTCACCCAGTAGCTTCTTAGAACTGAGGCGTTTCTGGTGCTCTCCAGACCGAATGAATCAGAATTTGCACTTCGACAAGATTCTCAGGTGATTTGTAAGCATATTAAAGTCTAAGAAATCCTAGACTAGGCTACCAGTCCCCCAAATCAGTGGAGGTTCAGAATAATTTGGGAATTTTTTTTTGAAGGCACAGCAGACAGCATTTGTAAGTGGAGTCACAGCATATATCCCCTGAACTTGTTAGAATTCAACCCTATGAACTTGGCAAAGTGGCAGGACTGGGTATATTTTAAGTATGCAAAGGCATGTTTTTTTCTTTTCTTTTTCTTTTTTTTTTTTTATGTGGACAGCATACCTCATAAGTGCAATCCCTCTACTTCATCATCTGGTGCTCAGCAGAGGAAAAGGAGACTAACTCTACTTGTGGAGGAGAAGGGGGCTCTTGAGTCCTGTGTACTGTGCTCTAGGTGATATAGGGAAATCTCCAGGGTAACTTTTACTCTAGAGACTTTAGACACTAACCCAGGCTTAAGATGTGATTCTTCTTCCAGTTTATTGGCCTCCAGCTCCAGAAACAGACTAAGTAGGGCTGGTCTGGGTCTGGAGAATCTGTCTTTTTTTTTTTTTTTTTTTTTTAATATATGTAGTGGAGTTGGGCGCAGTGGCACATGCCTGTAATCCCAGCACTCTGGGAGGCCAAGGCAGGTGGATCACTTGAGATCAGGAGTTCGAGACCATCCTTGGCAACATGGTGAAATCCTGTCTTTACCAAAAAATATAAAAATCAGCTGGGCAAGGTGGCGGGAACTGAGGCAGGAGAATTGCTTGAACCTGGGAGGTGGAGGTTGCAGTGAGCTGAGATTGCACCACTGCACTCCAGCCTGGTGACACAGTGAGACCCTGTCTCAAAAAAAAAAAAGTATATATAATATGCTATATGTGCTGTATTATATAATATATATGTGTGTATGTGTGCGCACACACGCACGTGCATGTATATACATATACAAATATACACACACACTCCTTTCCCCAACTCTCCTCCCTTCCCGCCTCCCAGCTAATTCTAATTATTGTGGCTCTTTCAGATTAGGGGCTCTTTCAGAGCTCTTCCTGTGCTGACTCTTACAGGCCCTGCAGTGTGACTTTGGACAAGTCACTTACCCCCACACCTACCTTAACTTTTCTGTAACAGGGGAGGCACTAGCTGTCCAAGGTTACCTGTAGCTCTTGAGTTCTAAGAGAAGTCTGGGTTCTGTGGTCAAAGCTCTTTACCAATTGGTGGTATGACTGTTCCCCGTCTCCAACCCTTTGTTTCTCTATCTGTGAAGTTAGGGGTCTTTGTGGATTGTTATCAATAACAAGACTTACAGCAGTTTGTTCATAGTACATATAAGACTAAGATGAAGACACAACTTTTAAATCATTACAGCAGTGTTTTCAAAGGTTAAATGGCAGGCATTGTGTTTATTATTTCACTACCTGTAATCCTTTTTCTTTTTTTCCTAAGGTACTTTTGTTGTAGCATTTTTTTTTCCTGCGTTATTCCCTGTAATCTCTCTCTCTCTCTCTTTTTTTTTTTCTCCTTTGAGATGAAGTCTCATTCTGTTGCCCAGGCTGGAGTGCAGTGGTGCGATCTCGGCTTACTGCAACCTCCGCCTCCCAGGTTCAAGAGATTCTCCTGCCTCAGCCTCTCGAGTAGCTGGGACTACAGGTGTGTGCCACCACACCCAGCTAATTTTTTGTATTTTTAGTAGAGACAGGGTTTCACTGTGTTAGCCAGGATGGTCTCGATCTCCTGATCTCATAATCCACCCGCCTCGGTCTCCCAAAGTGCTGGGATTACAGGTGTGAGCCACTGCGCTCAGCCTCCCTGTAATCTTAACAATGGCACATGCTTATAGAATTTCAGTGAATCTAAGATACCATTCATTTTAAGATTCACCACTATTTTATGTACTGCTAAGAAAAAACATGTGCCAATTTTAATTGTAAGACCTCCTGCCCAACCCCCAAGATGCTGATGTGTGGGGAGATAGAGTTGGATCAGGGTCACTGGTTCCTAAAGATTAGGTCACACCAGAATCACCTGGTGGGCCTTTAAAAACAAATTGCGGCTGGGTACGATGACTGACGGCTGTAATCCCAGCACTTTGGGAGGCCGAGGTGGGCGGATCACGAGGTCAGGAGATCAAGACCATCCTAGCGAATACAGTGAAACCCTGTCTCTACTAAAAATACAAAAAATTAGCAGAGCATGGTGGCACGCGCCTGTAATCCCAGCTACTTGGGAGTCTGAGGCAGGAGAATCACTTGAACCCAGGAGGTGGAGGTTGCAGTGAGCTGAGATTGCGCCACTGCACTCCAGCCTGGGTGACAGAGCTCAAAAAACAAAACAAAAACAAACACAAATTGCTGGGCTTCAATTCTAGATTTTCTAATTCAGTAAGTCTGGGGTGTTGCCTGGTAATTTGCATTTTTGATAAATTCCTACACGATGCTGATGCTGCTGGTCCAAGGACCACACTTTGAGAATCACTGGTCTAGTTGAAATACACTATAAAGCAGTGGTTCCCAATCTTTCTGGCACCAGAGAGTGGTTTTGTGGAAGACAATTTTTCCATGATGTGGTGGGGAAGATGGTTTTGGGATGATTCAAGCACATTACATTTATTGTGCACTTTATTTCTATTATTACTTTGTAATATACAATCATGTAATAAACAGATCATCAGGCATTAGATTTCCATAAGAAGGCTGCATGCACTAGATCCCTCACATGCACAGTTTACAATAGGGTTTGTGCTCCCATGAGAATCTAACAATGCCATTGATCTGACAGGAGAGGAGCTCAGGTTGTAATAGGAGTGATGAGGAGCGGCTATAAATACAGATTAAGCTCCCTTGCCTGCTGGCTGCTCGCATCCTGCTATGTGACCCAGTTCCTAACAGGCCATGGACTGATACTGGTCCATGTAATGTGCTGGTACTGGTCCATGGCCTGGGGGTTGGGGACCCCTGCTGTAAAGTATTTACTTGAACAAGGCAGTGTTCTAGATCTGTGCTTTTTCACAAAGGTAGGCAGTATCTATTTAATTACAATTGATTAAAATAAGATACATTTTAGTCCTTTAGTAGCACCAGTCACATTTAAAGTGTTAAACAGCCACATGTAGCTTGTGGCTGCTGCTTTGGACAGGGCAGGTGTAGAACACTTTCATCGTTGCATAAAATTTTATTTGGAGAGTGCTACTCAAAGTGTGGTCCGCAGACCAGGAGCATCAGCATCATTTGGGAGCTTGTTAGAAATGTACCTTCTGAGCTCCTTCTCCATTCTGAATCAGAATCTATATTTTAACAAGCTCTCCTGATGATTCCAATGAGCATTAAGATTTGATAAACAGTCTTGTAAGTTTCGCGTGTGTGTGTGTGCGCGCACACACACACACACACACACATACACAAGTGAATGAATCATCGAAGCCACTAATGCATACATTCTTTCATTATATCCATTTTATAGATGAGGAAACTGAGCTTAGAAAGATTAATGAGTTTTTCAGGATCTCACAGCTACTTAGCTTGGGACTCAGCCCAGGTCTCTCTGAATCCAAAGCCCATATACTCAACCATAGGCCCAGTGCAGGGAAATCAGAGGGCCAAAGCTAGCGCAATTTCTCATCCCGCTGACCGTCTGTGCCCGGCTTACAGAGGAGGGCATCAGCGCAGGGACAGAGCTTCGGAGCCCATGCGAATGCGAAAGCCTCGTGGAGTTCCAGGGCCGCACTCTGGGGGCGCTCGAGAGCCTGACGCTGAACCATATCCTTTGGGGCTGGTGGCGCGGGCTGGAGGGAAAGTGAAGGGACCTCGGCGAACCCCAACGGCCTCCTTAACCGCTCACTGGCCCAGCTGACGGCGCGCCTGGAGCATCTGGAGAACCAACTGGCCAACCAGAAGTGAGGGCCAAGGGCGGCCCAGACCCGGGCTGGGGCGCGGCACCATGGACAGTGCGCCGGGGCCAGGCAGAACCTGGGCCCGTCGGGCTTGGGCTGTCGGGGCGGAGGCGCTGGCGGGCTTCCGACACTGAGCTGAGCTGGCTTCGCCCGGACCATTAGGCGGACTCCTGGGTCAGGGGGATAGCGGGTGGTGGCGGAAGGGGCACGTGCTAGACCGGCATGCCCTCGCCGCGTGCTGCGCTCAGTTCTTTGTTGGATTTGTTTTCTTAAAAAAAAAAAAAAGAAAGAAAAAAAATCTGATTTCCACAGGGTTCGTTTTTGGGGCTTGCTGCGCCGCCAGGGGGAGGGGAAGCCAGACGGAGCGCACTCTGGCGGCGCCCGGGCGGCGTCTCCTTGGAGAAAGGCGCATTGTGAGGGGGTCGGGCTCGGGGGCAGGAGACCCGGGGCTGCTTCTTCCCCCTGCTTGTTTATTCAGCCGAGAACAGATGGCTCCTTATGCAGGCTGCAGGAAGGGAGGGGGCTCAACAGGAATCCTTGGGGTCTGGGCAAGCCTGCGCCATCCCATTCCCCAGCGGATTGAACGCTTCGCTCTCCGGCCAGGCCTATCCCATAGTGCCCCCAAATCTGGCTCAAAAGCTGCTAGGACTGAGCGCTGGTGGGGGTGCGGGGTGGGGGTGGCATTGGTGGGAAAGTGAGAGGCAGTAATTGAACCCCTAAATGGATGGGGTGGAAGTGGATAGATGAGCTTTGCCCGATTTTAACTCCCTCCTGTACTAGGTAGGAAGAGAAGGAGGTATCAGGACCCCTGTCTGCCCAGCCTGTGGCCTTCCTTCTGTCACCCTGCCAACCCCTCCCAAAACACCTCTATCAGCAAAGAACACAAACCAGTACCATTTCCCAGGTGCATGCAAGAAACCACGAAGTTTAAAATGCTTCCAGTCCTAGAGTGATTTGGGGAAAATTATTTTGTGTTTGTTTCCTCATCTGCAAAGTGGAGATTGAAATTTTTACCCCAAGGGTGATGGGGAGAATCAAGGACATTCTTCTAAGGCATGTGACATTGTGCCTGGTACCTATCAGGCCCTCAATTAATGGTAGCTATTAACTATTCTTATAGTAACAGCTAACATATTTAGTGTTGGGCGTTATTGTAACTGATTTGCGGTATTTTCATTTTATACTTGCAACCACCTTGGGAAATAAGAATTATTGCCTTTATCATCCCCATTTTACAGATGACACCGAGGCATAGAAAGGTTAAGTTTCCAGCAGTAAAATAACCAGTACGAAGCTGAACCACGATGTTTCCTGTGGCTGCTCTAATAAGTTACCACAAATTGCGTGGCTAACAACACACATTTATTACCTTACAGTTTTTAGGTCAGAAGTCTAAGATATGTTGGCAAGGGTTTATTCCTTCTGGAGGCGTTTGTTTCCTGGCTTTTTCCAGCTTCTAGAGCCTACCTGAATTCCTTGGGTAATGGCCCTACATCACTTCAGCCTCAGTTTCCATCAGTACATCTCTCTCTGACTCTGAGCTTCCTGTCTCTGTCTAATAAAGACCCTTCTGACTGTATTGGCATGACCTTGATAATCAAAGATAATCGTCCCATCTCAAGCTATCTTTTTTTTTTTTTTTTTTTTTTTTGAGATGGAGCTTTTGCTCTTGTTGCCCAGGCGGCTGGAGTGCAATGGTGCGATCTCGGCTCACTGCAACCTCCGCCTCCCAGGTTCAAGGGATTCTCCTGCCTCAGCCTCCTGAGTAGCTGGGATTATAGGTGTGTGCCAACACTCCCAGCTAATTTTTTGTATTTTTAGTAGAGACAGAGTTTCTCTATGTTGGTCAGGCTGGTCTTGAACTTCCGACCTCAGGTGATCCGCCTGCCTCAGCCTCCCAAAGTGCTGGGATTATAGGCATGAGCCACCGTGCCTGGCCTCAAGCTCTCTATCTTAACCACATCAGCAAAGTCCCTTTTGTCATGAGAGGTGAAATCACAGGTTCCAGGGATTAAAACATGGACATCTTTGCAGGGAAGGCCATTCTGCCTACCACATGAGGCTTGAAGCCAGGCTGACTGACTTCAGAGCAGCTGCTCTTAAGCACTCTGTGCCGGGCACCTTGCTAGGCTTGGTGAAGAGGGAGAAACTGACGATTGAGAAAAACTCTTGAGCTGAGGGAGCTCCGGGCTAGAAGGGCTGAGGTCCACCTGACTACACCTGTAGCAGAAAAAGGGAACTTCAGATGAGAGGAGGGAGAAATCCTGGAGAGGTGATCCTTAAATGGTGGCTGGAATTTCTGCAGGAGGCCATGGAGGACTTTACAGGTGAGTGAAGCACGAACTATGTGTGGTCAGGAGGGTCTGGAGTATGGGGGGATGGGAATGATCATCTTATTTGGTCATGAGGATCAGATGAGCTAAAGACCTATGGACTTGGCATGTGACCTCACCTTGCCTTATCATTCATTTTACAGTTGGGGAAACTGAGGCCTAGAGGCCAGAGTTGCCTGCCCAAGATCACACAGAGAGAAAACATCAGTTGCACCAGGAAGAAACCTGGTGGGGAGGTCAAACTGGAGCAGGGTAGTCAACTGATAGCGGGCACTGAGAGCAAAGGCCAGGCTCCTTCTCTTCCTCCTCCCTGGAGGTGGCCGACACTGGCTTCTCTGGGGATTCTTTTCTCATGTTCTTTTCTCCTGCAATCTCGCTAGTGGCCACTGGATGGTGTCTGGAGCTCTGATTTGGAACTAGGTCCTAGAGCCTTTGCAGGTCTTTGGCATCTGGCACTTGGGCTGCAGAGCCTGTCCTTCTTTAATTCCCCCACTCTGGCAGCCCCACCGCCGAAGTCTACAAGCTGCTTCTGTTTCCATGCATTGGCCCCATAGTCCTGGATTTGAAGACCAGCCCTGCTACTTACCAGGTGTGTGTTGGTGTTGACAGGTGCTGGTTCCCTGTCTTGGGAACTTTTTTCCTTTTCCTCCTACCCCCTTTACCCTGCTGGATATAATGGAATTCCTGTTCCCTAACCATGCCCCACATAAGGTCATCTAGCCCTTGCTTCTTTGTTTATACCCCCATCTTACGTCATGGGATAGAAGACTTACAAAGGACTTATGAATTCAGGAAAACAAACATCCACTAACCCAAGAACAGAAAGTGAGAACCCAAGAAACAGTGTGAGGAGAGTAAAACTGCCAAGAAAGCTTAGATGCAGAAGGCACTGAGCCCAAAGAAAGACCCCCGGGCCTGGGTCTCTTGGTGCTCAGGCAAGCAGGGGTTTATGTGACTCCCAGAGCCGATTAAAATCAGGAACAAAGCACATACATATTGGGGGAGTCCTGAGCCCAGCTGTGTGGAGGGAACTTAGCGCCCTCAGCCCCCTTGGTTCCCTGGAGAGTTTGAATCATTAAAAAAAAGGGCAATATCTTCCCTAGTGGTTGGCAAAGATGCCACTTCTGAAGCTGTTACTTAGACTTAATAGCATGAACTAGATATGGCCTTGGGTGGGAAAGTGCAGGGCAGGAAAGGCCTGTAACTTCAGCCAAGTGCTGGACTCCCTTTCTGAATTTCACCTCTGTGTTGTCTGGCTCTGTTTCTCCGTGGTTTTTGGCCTTTCTCTTCTTCTATTCTAGCTCACAGCTCTCTCCATTTCTGCAGCTGGCACAGCTGCTGTCTCCAAGGGCAGTCTCCTCTTCTGGCTCTTTGGACCTAGGATAGTGAAACAGGAGAGAAAACTATCAATTACCACACTGGCCCGCATGCTGGGGGCCAGGCTGTGCCTTTCATCTGCATTGTCTTGTTGAAACCTTTCAACCTACAGGAGGAAAAACGAACTTGAAAGAGGCCAGTTAGTTGCCCAAGGCCCAGAGCTTCCAAGTTAGGGTTTGAACCCAGATGGTCTTGATCCCAGAGTAGGCCCTTTTCACATTTCTACCCTTCAGTTATTAGGGACAAATTTGGACTTTTTCAAAGAAAACTTTTTCAGGAAGCTTATGGAGCAGACCAAAGCAAAGCCCCAAGATACAGTGCAGGTGAATGGCAGGAGCCGCTCTGCCATTCGTCAGCAGCGCAGCCTCCACGGGACGCTTTTGCCTCAGTGTTCCCTCTTGTAAAACCTGTGGGCAGGCCAGGCATGGTGGCTCACACCTGTAATCCCAAGCACTTTGGGAGGTCGAGGCAGGCAGATCACAAAGTCAGGAGTTCAAGACCAGCCTGACCAACATGGTGAAACCCCATCTCTACTAAAAATACAAAAATTAGCCGGGTGTGGTGGCATGTGCCTGAATCCCAGCTACTCAGGAGGCTGAGGCAGGAGAATCGCTTGAACCCAGGAGGCAGAGGTTGCAGTGAGCCAAAATCGTGGCACTGCACTCCAGCCTGGGTGACAGAGGGAGACTCTGTCTCAAAAACAAACAAACAAAACCAAAAAACAAAACAATAGCAACAACAAACAACCTGTGGGCAATGCCAACCTCACAGGTTAAAAGGAAAGAGCAAAGTCATTGATGAATGTGAACATGCACAGTGGATGATCAGGAAGGTCCCCCTTCTTTTCAGGCCATTACTTGCCCTTTTTTCACACCCTCCCACTCATTTGAAGTGGTGTGGCTTCAGATCCCCAGGCCCAATGAAGAAGCTGGGCCATATCACACAATGAAAAGCAAATTGCTGTTAAATATACAGAGGAGGGTATGAGCAGCTCAGCTTTATGGATTCCAAGAAGGCTTCCTGGAGGAGGTGGCAAGTGAGCTGCACCAGTGAGGAAGGGTAGACATTCCCCAGACGATAAAGGAGGAGAGGGCTCCTGGGCACAGGGCTCGAGTGGCTTTTCAAGGGCATGTGGGGAGGGTGAGGTTGGAGAAGACAGTCGCCCTCAGTCCCCAACGTGGATCATGCTGCATCCCATGACAAGGGCTTGTGGGTTAGTGGCTCTAACCCACAAGACTTCATGGACTTATGAATCACCTGAGGGCCTGTTAAAAATGCAGCATCCTGCAGTGGGGCCCAGGAATCTTTGTTTGTCCCAGCTCCTGGGTGACACTGTGCAAGTGATCAGAGGAAGAAAGGAGACACAAAGCTTCTGGTGATGGACATGAGAGCTGGGCAAGGGCTCAGTGTCCTCCACCAGGCAGAGGAGCAGACTAGGGTCTCAGGATCTTGAGTGTGGGCGTGTACTAGACCCTGTGCCCCGAATTAGCAGATGTGAGGAGCTAAGCTGAGAAACAGCAAATGGGAAAGCAAATGTGAATGCCAGGGCAAGTATTACAACTTTGTTAGGAGTCCCCAGGGGCTGGGC